GCTGTTATCTTCGTCTTGCTGTCTTCTTCAGCCAGTGGCGATTCAGTTGCCTGAAGGCACTGAGTTATATTTAGGATCCGTGAGGTCCTACATAGACAGAGCCTGAATCCTATAGCCATCATTTATGATGGCTTCTGGGATTGGACACATGTTGGCGGCGGAGCACCACCTTTTTGTCGACCTCAGGCAAACTAGTCCCTGCTTTGTTTCATGGTATCTTTCGATTGCGTTGGAATTTCATTGAAATTCAATAAAGAATATATCTTTATGAAATAATAAATAACAGATTTCCTCTATTCGTTGTTTACTAAACAGAATTTCTAGTTTAGTTTATCCCCTACGGCCGTCTAGGGGGTTAAAGACTACTCATTTGACCTTTGGCATCACCTTGTTAACCTAGGCAATCTCCACTTGCTTTATTTATCCCTGACTTCTGCTTGTACATTCCAAACTTTCAGAAAAAGTGCGCATTTCAAAACGTTAAAGCATGTCTAAAAGGAATATATTCATAAAAAGTATTTTTGTAGGTCATTTATGGTGCCGTTAATTAGCCCAATACTTCTGCCACTTCCCGTTAAGTGAAGAGTATCTTTATATTGGGTGAGGTATGACTATGTGGCCTTGATCCTTATGTGCACTTTGTAACCCAGCTTAACATCTGTTGGTAACATTGTTCTCAGGGAAGGTAGGGAAGAATAAAAAGAGCAGAATATGCTGCTGTTATGTAAAGTGTAAATATGAATGTGTGCGTTCTAGAATGAGTTACACAATTGCACTTTATCACATATTCCCATGCCTGCAATACTCCGCTGCCTGGCTGAGTTTGCATGCTATTGGCCAGTAGCCAGGCAGTAACTTACTAGCCCAGCTCCAAGCACTTCCAATTTTGCACTTGGGGGACAGTTTACTAGAATTGAAGATTAAATCACTGTTAATTATAGCTTTTTCCCTATGATATAAACCATTGGGAAACAATTATGTTTTCTGCCTTGAAAGTTGTTTACAAGACACTATTACAGCACATCTATGTGACACAACAAGCTGGCTACCTTTATACTGGTTACAGATCAAGATGGCCTACTCTTTGCTGGTGAGAGAACAAGATGGGTACCACAAGTTGTGTCAATGGCTAGAGTCTTACTTTAATAACTTCCTTCAGTTACCTTTACTCATTCTCCTCTCTCCCAAAAAGTTCTAAGTTATAACAGATTGTATGGCTGTACTGACTGTACTGGTTTGCAAACCATTTTCCATCCACTTGTTGCACCAGTGAGCTGTCTATTGACATATAGCTCTTTATATCATGACATGACATTAGACGAAGGATGAAAAATCATATCAGAATTAAGACGTGAATCATTCATATAATGTCAGAGGCTAGATTTCAATGTTTTACAGCCTGATATTCTAGGTTAGACATAAATGATTCACAGTATTGGTAACATATTATGATCGATCAGACATACGGAATTTCACTACGATTTTTGATGGTTGCATGACAAGTTGTGATGGCTCAATGACCAACTCAGAGTCAGTGAATCAGTTGCTTTTTATTGACACCATTACAAGACTGTTGGGTCAGATGGTTCCCCTATTCCTTTCACAGTTGTTGGAGCCGTTTGAGATATTGTATGCTAGATATGCTAGCGGGTGACAGTTTTGATATGTATGAGGGTATAAAGGGTATAATCATGAGTGAATTTAACAAATGGGTGATTGGTATGATGGCAGATGGCTGGTTAGTGTGACGGATGATTGAACATGTGAGTCGTTTTAGTGACGTCTAGGTGCCATTAGATGAAGATGTCTTAATACCTGCCAAAGGGGCATTCTAACAACAGAATTACTTATGTTCACACTTGACTAACCACATTATTGCCCCGTATTGACTGCACTAATATTTGCATAGACTATCCATCAGAGTATCTTGCAATAAAATGCATCCCTCACATAATTCTGGATGAAAAGACTGTTACCTACATGAATTAATCATTTACTTTTTTTTTTACACTGGAAAGAAAGACTGTTAACGGAATGCAATTTATGGTTTCTTTGTTATGTGCAAGGAAATTGGTTAACTGTATCATGTGCCATGCATGTACGTGTATTAGTGATCTTTGAAAGCTTTGTCCTTTGTCACTGTATTGTGATAACACTTCATCGACTTCACACTTGGATGTAAATAAGTGATGTGCATGTGACTGAGGTTACACCAATTAATACTGAAACAAATATTACTTCTCGGTATAAACACAATGCATCGTTATCAACTATTACTACAAATACAGTGTACGTTTAGCATTGGATGTTGCACACGTAACACAGCTCATTATAAGCACAACTGATTATTATACTTATTACTATTGATTCAATGGTTGGATTTTTGTTACAGAGAAGGAAATTGGTCTCCCAATGTGCTCTTTTCTGTACTTCTCCTGATTTATTGATTTTTTTTTTCTTTGCTAGGACTTACCCAAGAGTTGAAATTTTTCTTAACTTTTACTTCAATCACGCATATATAGTTTGCACTTGAATGTTTATACGTATGACTCGTGTAAGTGTAATTGCTGTAGGTATTGGTGAACAAACATATACGTATTTTGTCCAAATTTTGTGACTAGTTTTTCAAATATTGAAATGGAAATATTGCATTTAATTACGTGGGTACATTTTGCCATAAGCTGCAAATTCTATATCTTAATATGATTTTGGTAAGTAAGAAAAAATAAAAATATATACATTTATAAATGTGACGTTATGTTTTATTTTGCAATCCAATGTTATTGGCTTTGAAAGGTTTGACAAAAGTGTGAAAAGCAACCAACCAAAACAGACAAGTGAGGTTTTATTTAATGCCTACATTGTCCTAGATGTAAAAGTTGCATTACCAAATATCTATCTAAATTATAAATTATTATTATAAATAAAACACAGACTAGTAACAGTCTGAATCAGTGAGAATGGAAAACCAAGAGACAGAAGGATAGAAGGAGAGTCTGATGGTGGATGGAGGAAGAGTGTGATTTAATGATTGAGGGAGAGTCTGAATAAAGTAGGTTGAAGAAAAAAGGATAAAGGAAACATTGGATGAAGGGAGGATGGACAAAACGTTTGAGAGAAGGATAGAATGAGAGTCTGAGACCAGGGATGGAGGGAGAGTGAGAAAATGAGTCTGTGACAGGATGAAAGAGAAAGCAGTATAGTAGAGGATGGGTTGTATTATAATAGTGTAGAGGAAGAGATGTGTGTTTCTTTCTATAAAAGTAAAATATTTGATTTATTTAAAACTCAACTATCAAAATGTTCATTTGTTAAAGAAATAAAGAAAAAGAACAAGGTTTTAATTACCAAATCACACCTTTGATATCTATATTATCTATTTACAAAGATAATATACTATCATAACCCTAATCTTCCACAAGATAATGGGCTATTTCAAACTAAAATGCAGGTAGAGCCCTAAACGGAAGAAAGGAAGTTCTGTATTGTATGCTTCTCGGAACACCTTACCAACGTCTTGTGCATGCACACTGAAGCACCTGGCAATTTATCATTATTAATGGGACAGTTTAGACACCATAACAACTTTATCTAAATTGAGTTGTAATGGTGCCAGGAGGCCCCTGGGTGCACTAACCTTTCAGACGTTAAAATGTTTTCGAACGGTTTAACCCCAAATTTGCTTCCAGCGCCGATCCTCAGGTCCCCCCAGGCAGCATTGCGGAGTGCCACTGGGCAGGGGTGCAGCTGATTGGCTGAGAGCGACCGCTGCAGCAAATTATTTAATATTAACATTAAGTGTCAACATTAATATAAGTTAATATATTATATATTATTTATTTGACTGAAGCTCAAACCCTAGTCTTTGATTAGACTATATTTGCCTTTGTTATTCTCATAATTGTTATGGTACTTACAGGGTTTTTCACAAAAGTAAGAATTTTAAAGTGAATATCACGTTGAAGGCCAAAGCATAAGCTGAATTAGAGAATTTTTTTTCGTTTGGCTATATTTACCTTAAATTTGAAATTTACTTTAAATTCTCACTTTCACAAATAACCTGCTAGTAAGTGTAAACAAAGACTGTAAAAAATAACATATATACCAAAGAAAACCATTAAAAAAATAAGTTTCCTGGTTTCAAATTTTTATAAATCATTGTAGGTTTACTTTTTTGGTGTTTGGTGAAATGTTTTAGTCTACCCCTGTGGGTGAGCTTTGATTTTTAAAAGTGTTCATCATTGCCAACAGAGTCTATGTGTGGCACATGCTCTCATTATTTGTATGAGAGCATGTGATTCAGTCTTCAGCTATTTGTCTCTTGGAAACTCTCTTGGTGACCTCGTGTTACTCTGAAAACCTACGTTAAAAATGCTAATTGTTAGACAAGAACTACAAATTGACATTTACCCTGATATTACCCACCTATACTGCTATATTTACCCTGATATTACCCACCTATACTGCTATATTTACCCTGATATTACCCACCTATACTGCTATATTTACCCTGATATTACCCACCTATACTGCTATATTTGTTATTGTGGGTTAATTACGTCTATGCTAAGCCTGTAGCTTTACTTTTGTAATGAAGTGAGTTCTTAAAGGGTATTTGATTCCTCTATGCAAACTATCTATGAAATTGCTAACTACTATATATATAGATCAAGCCAAACATCTCTTTGAAAATAGCAACCCCCTCCTCCGGTGAGTCAGGCAATCGGCATAAACTCTGTGCCGATGACAGTTAGCACAAGAAAGGGCCTAAAGGCTGTTCTATTGCTTGGTTTCATAGTTCATTAACGTAGATGTGTTACGAGTGCATACTTTCCCCTCCCAGACGCCCCCCCCCCCTGCTTTATCCAGTCTTGGAATTGCACACCGTCCCTGTTGCCATTCAGAAATGGGCCCCAGGATCAGTCAGCTTAGCTTACCAATTGCAGCTAAGAGACTTTACCTCCTCTGCTGGGCTGCCAAACATTTACCACTCAAGGCTACTGCAGCCTTCAGGCAGGGTGTCTACTCAGCCAGTGCTAAAGGCATATCCTCCAGACTGGCAGGACTGTGCCTGGCCGGCAATGATGCCTGTCAATGCACAAAGATCTGGGGGAACACAGGCACAATAATGGTTGGGATAAAGATTTTGTTATTTGTGCTGCCACTTCTACTGCAGAACCTCTTTGAGATGATGGCTAATAGTGTCAATTCTGTGAGGTTACCACCGACATCGGAGTGATGATGGCGGAATTGGACCTGTTGAGCCCAAGGTGAGTACGAAGGAGAACATGATGAAGACACTATGAAGGTGGGTAATATAACCCTTTTATTTGGACACTAGGAAAGAGAAAAAAGGACTGACTAAAGTTAAAAAAAATAATGACAGGTTCACTTTAGGGTAAAGTATCAAGAAAGTATTTTGCTGCCATATGTTGGCAGCATGCGACTGTTCTGGTAAATGAATTTTGGTGTTTCGGAATGATGTCTGATTAAATTGGCTTAGGTGGTATTGAATGCTGTTAAGGGGTTGCAGTTGTCTGGTTTGTTTTTTTCAATGTGGATGTTGAATTCAGCAACATTACACCACTGTTTATGGTTACACCTCTAGATGACGGTTTGGAGGATGTTAGGGTTATGGAGTCTTTAGGGGTAGGGTAAATTTGGATTCAGGGATATAGAGTTAAGGGTTATCTGTCTCCAAGATTTTGTGGTCTATAACTGCCCTGATTCTTAAAGATGGGAGAATAACCACCCCGACTGCACAGGGTACATACACAGCTGCACGCTGTGTCATTAGGGCAACAGGTACCCAGCACTATAATACCGACCATCATAATAGACCGTGTTCTAACAATGCCATTATCTTTTTATTGTGGCAGCAACGTAGCTCCACCATAATGACATTTTGTTAAAATGTTACAATGTGCCTGATTCTCTCACAACCTCTGTTTGTTTTTGAATCAATGTACTTAAAGTTCATTAATTAAAATTGGGGTGTCAAGTGTTGGCATTTCTTGCTGATATAGGGATGTGGAGAGTTGGCACTGCATGTTTGTATGTGGTTTAGAGTATTGTGATTGAAAGCAGATAATGGTGTGCAGACTGTTGGCGTTGCTTGCCACTATTGGGGCGCAGAGAGGTGCTTGTGGCTGGGTATCCCATGTCTGCTGCCAACCTTCCCCCCTTCCCATTCATTACCCAGGAATGAGTCGCCTTTACATGCAGGGCTAGCAGTGCTAACAGTTGAGGCCATGTGTGTGTGTGGAACAGCTGAAGGCTGCTTTTGGATTGCTTGGAATGCGGTAGATGACCTGAGAGCAGGACTTTTATGGAAACTCACAGCCTGAGACTGAGTAATTCCTGCCAAACAGCATCCAGTCTGATGAGAGCAGCGTAACAGGAGCATAGCTCAGCAGCGCTGTCTGGGGTAGCACAGATTGGAATAGCAGAAAAGTAGCACAGACTGGAGCATAGGGAAAAGCACAGACTGGACTAGCAGAGGTTAATACAGACTGGAATAGCAGGATTATACTACAAATTGGAATAGCAGAGAATAGCACATACTGGAATTGAAGACACCACAAACTGGAATAGTAGAGGGCACTCAGAAGCAAAATCTGTTACAAGAGGGGACAACTCATCAGGACAGCCTGTTACGGGGGGACAGGCCAGCAGAACAGTCTGTAACAAGAGGGAACCCTCCAGCAACACAATCTGGGATTACAGCCTATCCTGAGCAGGACACTGAGACTCAGGCCATCACGCAGCAAGGTAACCATGCTGAATACTGCCTCCTGGGAGTAGGAATAATGCCTCAATGAGGGTATTACTGGGAAATGTGCTTTGCGGTTGGGGTAGCATAAACCATATTATTATTATTATTTATAAAGCGCCAACAAATTCCACAGCGCTGTACAATGGATATGCACTGAAACATAGGGACAGGTTCAACAAGGGGCAGGTGATGCCATGTATGTGCCCTTGAAATAATCTCTGCTGAAATTTGCTAGGTCTGTTTATTATTCCAAATGAGGTTCTCGTATTATGATTACAGAAACATATTGTCTTTTTGGAAGTGCTGTAATATTAAAAAACTAAAAATCCCCAAATAGTTTGTCTCCCCCAGGCCTCCTGAAACTGTATAGAGTGTGAGTGTGTTAAAACCTAGCATGTATCACACACATCCTGTAGAACATTTAGAACTCTGAATGTGAGATATCAATATAGCATGCTTTCACTTTATGAGGAAAGTTAATTATTTTACAGAGGTGTTTCTCATATACCCAACGCTTTCTGAATAATTCCTCATACAATGATACGGGACACACAGGGGGCGTATTCACTAGACAGCAACATTTAGTGAATTGCAAAACTAATTGGGTAATTCTCATCTTGGCTATTTTATTCAGAAATCAACAATTCAGTTTTTAATTTGCAATTTTCAGAAATCAACAATTCAGTTTTTAATTTGCAATGCTCTTATTAAAATGTTTAACAGCTAATTACATGTTATTAAGAGAAGTCCTAAAACTGGTAAACTATTAAGCCCTTTGATTAACCTGTTATTATTTCATACAATAACTAAATACTTTATTAGTAAAGACCATAGCATGTTTTTTAGTATTGGTGCCCCCATGATTTAGTATTTCTCTTGCTTTATCTAAAAAGCTTGGTTTTGTTTTCTCCAAGAAAGACAATGACAAACATTTGGGGTGTAGGGATGGTATGTTGAAGACAGTGTGTGTGGGGGCAGGAGTGCAGGGAGGGGGTGCCTTTGGGACTGTCACATGTTATCAGTCTTCAGAGTAAGTGACAGCAGCTGGCTTGCCACATTACTCTCACACCCCAAATAGATCAGCTGTTACATTAACCATTTCATAACCACATGGGCCTTTTCAGCCATGCCTGCTACATATAGTTTAATGTATTGTTTAAAGGGACATCCCCACTACAGGCTGGTACTAACATGCTCTCCTCTATTATTATACTATGGAGATAATGCATTCAAAATTCAACAAACAAATACATGATTGAATATAACACCCCTTAATTTACTGCCCCAGCTTACAGTCTCCAGGAATAGTGGCAAAAAAATGGATAGGATTCGTTAGCCATCCCCAGTCATCCCATTGTTTTTAAAGTGAAACACTGTTATGAGATATGTAGGCAAGCTGTTGCAAGTACTTTTATTTATGAAAATACTAAGTAATGAAATGACTTAGATTCTATTAGTGTGCTGTATATGCTCATTCATGTTTTTTATTGAAAGAAAGTACTCTTGACTGAAAGCTAATTTAGAGCCTGTATAAGTATCTCTGGGTTTGTGTGGTGTAGAAGACCTTCCATGGTTTGGGTGGATGCTCTTTCCCTATGACATCATCCTGTGAGGTGTGAATATATATACAGAGCTATTTTAGCAAATGACTAGAATTAAGGAAACCAAAGATAGGGACATCCTTCCACCATAACACATGGTTGCATCATATGTGGTTATGGAGGTTGGGGATCCCCTTAAGACAGTGTTTCTTTTTTACACTATTTGTTTAAAATGCATCACAAATATTATTTTGTTTTATTGCCCACCACCACTTGTCCACTATATACCTTGTGGAGTACGTATAAAAAACACTGGGAAATGCTAAGGAACATAAATTGTATGTCCTTATTTTTGTTAAATATCTGTTTACGTTTCTTTTTTTTACACATCTAAACCAAATCTAAATGCTATTCTACAAATCTGCAGTGTGATTTCCCATTTTTATTGAAATTTCTCAGTATATATTAATATTAAACGTGAAACAATGTTAAAAAAAAAAGGTATAATAACATCTATTACTATTCAGCTGCCAATTTAGTTAATTCCGAGAGTGTGCTTTGAGTCCCACTGGGATAAAGGCGCTATATAAATACTAATTATTATTATTATTATACGTAAAGTGAAAAAAAAATAGAACAGCACTCATACTGATGTAGTTAATTATGTACTGCCAACAATTAAGCAGCTAGTGCAACATACAGAAAGCTTCTTGTCTACCCTGCACCTCTGTGGACCTACTTTGCTAATGTATAGCTTGGAGGAAAGACGAGACGGGGGGATATGATAGAAACATTTAAATACATAAAGGGAATCAACACAGTAAAGGAGGAGACTATTTTAAAAGAAGAAAAACTACCACAACAAGAGGTCATAGTCTTGATTTACACAGGCAAAGGTTTAACAATAATATCAGGAAGCATTACTTTACTGAGAGGGTAGTGGATGCATGGAATAGCCTTCCAGCTGAAGGGGTCGAGGATAACACATTGAGGGAGTTTAAGCATGTGTGGGGTTAGCATAAGGCTATCCTAGGCTTACGATAAGGCCAGGGACTAATGAAAGTATTTAGAAAGTTGGGCAGACTAGGTGGGCCGAATGGGCAGACTAGGTGGGCCGAAGGGTTCTTATCTGCCATCACATTCTATGTTTCTATGTCCCTTAATGTTTGGCTGTTTTGCTAATCCTGTTTCTAAATAATGGTGGAGGCAGTAGGATATTCAATATTTTTTCAACAAAATGGTGTTTGAAGTGGGATATTCCGACCTGTTTCTAAATAATGGTATAATGGTGGAGGAAGTGGGATATTCAATCCTGTTTCTAAATAATGGTGGAAGAAGTGGGATATTCAATCCTTTTTATAACTAATGATGAGGGGGAAGTTGGATTTTTAATCCTGTTTCTAAATAATGGTGGAAGAAGTGGGATATGCAATCCTTTTTCTAACTAATGATGAGGGGGAAGTGGGATTTTTAATCCTGTTTCTAAATAATGGTGGAGGCAGTGTGATATTTAATCCCGTTTCTAAATAATGGTGGAGGAAGTGGGATATTCAATCCTGTTTCTAAATAAGGGTATAATGGTGGAGGAAATTGGATATTCAATCCTGTTTCTAAATAATGGTGAAGGCAGTAAGATATTTAATCCTGTTTCTAAATAATGGTGGAGGAAGTGGGATATTTAATCCTGTTTCTAAATAATGGTGGAGGAATTGGGATATTCAATCCTGTTTCTAAATAATGGTGGCAGTAGTAGGATATTCAATCCTGTTTCTAAATAATGGTGGAGGAATTGGGATATTCAATCCTGTTTCTAAATAATGGTGGCAGTAGTAGGATATTCAATCCTGTTTCTAAATAATGGTGGAAGCAATTAGATATTTAGTCATCATTCTCCAGCACTGACTCACACACTCGGTATCTATTTTAAATCTCATTCACATCCCATATCTCATGCAGGATATTTTCCCATACACTAGCATCCTTGAGACTTTTTGTTATTGTAACTTCTACTACTCTATAAATTAGTGCCACCTCTCTTTAAAACCCAGTATAACTTGACTTTCATCAATATTTAACCCTTCAAAACTTTAATGCCACCCTAAAATAAAGTAAATATACAACAAAGCACAATACACATTTTTTTTCACACATTAAAGTAAAAACACATAAAATAAGCTCTGTATTGTATTCTACTTACTAACTCTTCTCTGTATCATAGGTGTGTGAAGTACAGTTCATTAGGGTGTGTACCTGTATTTAATAAAAGGAGACTATTTATTGAAAACTCAGCCATCAAAATGGGTATTTCTGTTTTGTAAATACAACATAAACTGTATATCTACTGCACTTATCGTACCTCCCTCTGCTATAAACTAAACTGTGGAGTGTTAAGTATGCTGGTTACCACTGTATCTCATAATATAATGTAACCTGCAAAGTGCTACATCCACTATATAATATTGCCCTAAGTTTACCCCTTTCTGCTGCACGGTAACTCGTAGAGTGTTAGGAACACACCTGTTAGTCCTATAAAAATCTCTAATTTAAATGTACTTAAACTTGTAATTACTGAACTTACTGGACCTCTACTGTAAAGTAGCTTGTAAAGTGCTAAGTACACCTGTTAATGCCAAATAAATAAAATATTTATACATTGTACTGCACTTGTAACTGTTAGTACTATGGAAGGAAAAAAACAAGAATTTCTTAAATAGATCATTTGCCAGTTTCACAGTAGTCACTCTTTTTTTCTTCTGGATTTTTCCAACAGAACCAGTATTTTATAAATTGGATCAAACCATTTAGGAAATAAAGCACTGGTTGCGAGTATCATGGCATTTATAATAAATTATTTTCTCCCTAAACACACATTACCAAAATACATGTTTAGATATTTTGTCTGTCATCTCTGAAAGACATAAACCACTTACCTAATGCAAGACAGACTGAATAAAAAGGGTACTACCCTATATACACATAACCAAGCAGTATATTACATCCTACCCTATATACACATAACCAAGCAGTATATTACATCCTACCCTATATACACATAACCAAGCAGTATATTACATCCTACCCTATATACACATAACCAAGCAGTATATTACATCCTACCCTATATACACATAACCAAGCAGTATATTACATCCTACCCTATATACACATAACCAAGCAGTATATTACATCCTACCCTATATACACATAACCAAGTAGTATATTACATCCCACCCTATACACACATACCCAAGTGGTATTTTTCATTTCATGCTATATATACATAGCCAAGTGGTATTTCTTTTTTCATCCTATGCTATATATACATAACCAGGTGGTATTTTTTATCCTATGCTATATATACATAATCAAGGGGTATTTTTCATTTCATGCTATACACACATAACCAAGTTTCTCATAAGCCATATTTTTCATTCAGACCCTCTAATAGCAGGTTTGCAGGTAGCAGGCCAGGTTCCGTGATTTTGTGTGAGGGGCTGCCTGTTCCCCTGACTGCCCTCACTTTCCTTTCCCTGGCTTTGTGCCCTTTCAGATTAGAGCTATATTAGCAGACAGTCCTGCTTGTCCATGTCTATTTTCAGAAGTCACAGCTGAACCTCTCGTCTCCTGACAGCTTCTGAGCTTTTTCTAGATGTTTCCAAACACCCTCAAACAAATACACTGCATTTCAAAGTTTAAAAAGCCTCGCCTTAACCAATCCATTGCTTTATTTTAGGTTTTATAGAAAGACAAACATATCATACTACTTTCACGAAGGCATACCGTCTAACAAGACCAGAACAAAAAGAAACAGATTTATTTTACATTCCGAGCAGGGAGCCTAAATATTTCATGTTTTTACTTTGGCAATTCCTTCCTAACTCTTTTTGCCAATAATAGGAGCTGAATGCAACGTGGCTGGGGTCTGGCTGAAATATCACATTAGGTGCATTTCTTAAAGTAGAATTAGCTTTATGACATTTGAGGTCAGAAGATAACAATAGCAATTATTTTGTATCCAGCAAATGATCTACTATTCCGTGTATAAATAAAAGGGACAATCCATGTACCATAGTCACTACTGCATCAATCCAGTCTTTATAAAAATATTTTCAAGCAGTTTGAAAAAAAATTGAGGATTATTCTGCACCCAAAGCTCACCCCTCTTCGGTATGAAATGTGATAATGAGGTAGTTTCACTGGAGCAGTAAGTCCTGGAGTATAAGAGAATATGGCATGTATATGTAATGCATTGCCCATGCTGTACAAATATTTGAATAGATGACAAAGTGAAATATTCTCATTATGACATCATAAGCTGAGGGGTGGGCTTATGGTGCAGAATCCCCTGACTGTTCTTAAACATTTTGACAAAAAGTACTGCACCCATAGGCTCCTGGCATTATAATATCTGCAATAAGCTGTAGTGATTATGCCGCTTGGACTGTCTCTATCTTGCGGAAATGCCCAGCCATTTTTGGTATTCATACAAAACACATAGAAGTCTATCCACTAAGGTCCAATTTATCCAGGTCCAGATTTAAAAAGTGAGTTGAAAAATGGACAAGGACAGTATGTGAAAAGTGTTTAAACTCAACCAATAATCTTCTATCCATGGATAACCCACGATAAATAAAGAATATCTAGTTTTGACTGACATTATGGTCCTATATTATTAATTAGCAAATTTGCATGTTTGTAATCATCTCACCCTGATGTGTCAATTCACTTCAGGTAAGTATGAAATGACACAAAGAAAACAACCACAACCTGTATCACTTGAACTAGACCAAGTTAAAGGTTTGCTCTACGCATCCTAACTTCTACAGCCTATTGCAATGGTTTTGATGCAGGGAGTACCCTGGCTAAGCTCCCCAGTAATGGGACAAATGGTTTGCCCTCTTTCCTGGGTATCTTCCGTGTTCTAAGGCTTCTTCTTTCCTGGTAATGTGATTCTGGCCTCTGCAGAGCTGCAAAAGTCAATCCAGTCACCATTAAATGTCTGAGAGCGTCGGAATGTTTGTTGATGCCCCGATGACACTGCTGGAGGTGTGGTTACACCTCTGGCTCCATAAGGGATTATACTCCATATGTGCAGCATTTAATAGCAAAACAATGTACATACAGACTCAAGGCACTTTGACCGCTTCGAATCACTGAAGCGAGCATGGTGCTTAGAGTGGCCCATTAAGGTGATTAAAAGCTTTCTTCTCCTTTACGATATAACAAAGGCAATTGTGTGGCCAAGTATATCTAGTCAACTACCCTCAAAATCTGACTGGTATAATGACAAGACAAAGACTAGAATATCTGTGGACAAATCACACTTTTAGTAAGTCCAAATAGATTTGTAATTGAAATAGTAGTTCAGCCAGTCCAAATAGGTTTGAAGTCCTAATTGAAGTGACCTCATTGCAACTTTGCAAACGTGGATAATCCCTATTTTTTCCAATCAGTTATATATATAATGGGTTTTAGCCCACATTCAAGCACTTGTCTTGAACTGCTTTTTTTTATTTATTTTTTTTTAATTACTTTTTAAAAGCTGGTTGAAAAGTCAGAGTTTACTAAACAGATCAGATCATAATTTTTGTACAAACCAAAAATTGTTTTGTTTATATTCCACTTACTTTACGTTACTCTTGTATTGATTTCAAAAAGTGTTTTTACATGAATGTTACCAAGACACATCTTGTATGTTGCTACTCTAACTACCATGAAGCATGTTTTATGTCTGATAAAATGTAAAACACAATAATCTTTGATTTGAAGAAGAAAAAAAAACTTGGTTGGACAAAAGCTAAAGACGAGCAGAATCATTTAACTGCGCAATTATAAATATCTACTAAATTTTAAAATAAAAAACTTTTTCCATCTACAATACATTAATCAGCATGAATTGCATTTTATTTTCAGGAGTTAATAACACAGAAGCTCAAATCCTGTCTTCACGATGACATGCATTCCTAGAGAGATGGGAAACGCGATTATTTATTTTAAAATTTGTGTTAAATGTTTTAGACAACACGTAGCCTTGACGTTTGGTTTAATATCCAGTGATTGAGTAAGTTCATAGGTCAGGAATCTTGTGGAAAGGAATCTAATAAAGTGAGTGTTTATTTAGTCCTCCCAAGATAAAACTGGAATTTAGAATTTGTTTGTCACGTGACACCAAGATAACATTGTGTCTGAGTGCCTTAGCTATTATTAGGCTTCTGGTTGCCGTTAGCCCCCAACTAGATATGAAGTGAAATTAGATAAAATACAATGATCATTTATGTCAATATTTCTTAAACTCTGGGTTGAGAGCTATAACTGTGTCTCTAATAATAAGAGGAACATTTGCTTAATCAAACCCTAGGCCAGGGATAGGCAACCTTCGACACTCCAGATGTTGTGGACTCCATCGCCCATAATGCTCTTACACCCATAATGCTGACAAAGCATCATTTTGTAGTCCAAAACATCTGGCGTCCCAAAGGTTGCCTATGCCTGCCCTAGGTAATTACCCTCAATAAATTGGTTACTGCCTACCTCTGGATATGAAAAATCTAATTAAATTGGTTTGTGAAATTAATGTTATATATTACATATTGGTTATTGCACTATTTAATAATTGTAGACTGGGCTACCAAGTTTATATCATGGCACTGAATTTTGTCTGGATGGATAATACACCTTCCTATTTAAACCTTTCAATACCCAAATTAGGTATAAACTTTTTTATTTTTATGCATTTAGCAGTATGAAATCTAGTCCATAAAGACTCACTCTCATTTATACTCTAGTTGGGATTACCAGCCTCCAGAGGAATTATTATTTATTTCTGACAGAAGCTACTAGTTACTAATAAAGTGCATGTGAAGTTGCTGAAAATGTAAACTTTACCACGTGCTTTCAAACAGTACAGTAAATTTCAATGGGTCATACTATTCCCAGAGTAAGGGAGCTGGGAAAGTGGGAGAAGTGAATGGACTCTAAATACCTTTATTTTAGAAATATATGCTTTATCTGTATTTACTGTATTTAGGCATTATGTATAAATGCAGACATTCGTTTTACAATCTGCTGTCATTTTAGCAAGTTGCACTGCTAGTAATGCCTTCAGATTCCTTGCAAATAACTATAAAAAAGGTATATGGCTATTTTTATTCATAAATATTTTCACATTTACTGTACATGAGAAGAATTGCTAAAAATTTACTACATTGAGCCAAGAAGGTATTTTCTTTCTGCACACAAAAAAAATGCAAAAAGACAAAGACTGTTTTTTTTTTTTTCACTGTACTGAGTTCAACTGGGCATTGTGAAGAAGTGACGGTGGAATTGCAAATATTATGCCAAAATAGCTTAGATGGAAAAATACTCTTCCAAATAGTAGTATTAGTTACATATTCTGTCTGTATAGTTTGGCATAAAAGTTGCAACTTCCATGTCAATTTTCCAAATTATAGGGACCAAATAAACAATATTATATTCAACACTAACACAGTGCATGATTTACTAGATTTCAAAGTGCACGCAAAGCCAGTGTTTCATTGTATTGTCTCTTTAATTATCAAACCAAAAAACTTCAATCTTGGAATCTGTAACAGGGAACACAACTGAGTTTTTATTGTAAATGTTTTTATTGGGATTTAATTAAAACCATGATTTCCCTTAAGGTTTTTTTTTTTTTTTTTTTTACTTCTTTGTTTAAAAATAGGCATTAATGCCGATTTTCTGTTTGTTACTGTTGGCAAGGAATCGAATGCAGGATATTTTAGAAAAAAATGATTGTATCTTCAACTGCATCTTATATAATAAGAGAAAGGGCTTTTCAAATGTTTGTTAAGACTATAGAGTGATTTGAATTCCTATTAATATGTCCACTATAGGTGTTGGGGTGAGAGAAGATTGAAATATAAATTTTTACAGCTTACATCACTGGCTTTTTATATTTAAGAGACACTCCAGTACCCTAAATCACTTAAAGGTTAGCTGGCTGTCCCATCAGTCCTATTATACAAACATGCTGATATCAAGAGAAAGTGCTTTTCAATCAGACTTTAGAGATGGTTTCCTGCTTACTCACTTTGAACGAGCATCCAAATCAGTAGTGAATTCTTATTAAAGAAAGACATTCATTTCAATGCTTTCTTTATTTATTTATAAAATATTTTACCAGGAAAGATACATTGAAATTTCTCTCGTTTTCAAGTATGTCCTGGGTCCACAAAACATTGCATTGATAATAGGGTATAATAAAATACAAAAACAATATTAATACACAATATATACAAAATTTAACATAGAACAGGTAGGAAATATATAATCAATTGCCTTGGATTGGCAGAGTGCAGACTGGTCTGCCATATGAAATGTTGGGTCCCCTTAAACAAGGTGGGTCCACCCACCTTGGAGCGTGCACACATTGCCCTCCCCCGAGTCCCTGCTGACAAGGATAAGCAAAGTGGATGCAGTATTTGTGTGTGTTTATAGTGGGTCCAGTATGTGTGCATAGTGGATGCAAGGAGTGTATGTACCTGTAAAGTGGATTCAGTGTGTGTATAGTGGATGCATTGTGTATGTAGTAGAAGCAGTGGCGTACCTACCACGGTCGCAGGGGTCACAGCTGCCCCTCACTGCAGGCCGCCCTGCCGCAGCCACGACCCCTGCGACCTGTCATAGGGGGGCCCAAGAGGTGGCCCGCTGGCCACCTAGTGGACCCCCCCCCAGCGGGTGGCTAAGTTCCCATCAGACGCGGCGAGGGAGCTGTGTTCTCTCTGCTCTGCTCCCTTGCGCGCCGTTTGCTGATGCCAGGAGCCAAAATATGACATCATCAGTGGACAGCCCGCAAGGGAGCAGAGCAGAGAGAACACAGCTCCCTCGCCGCGTCTGACAGGAACTCTGCTGCCCGCTTCACTGAAGCCCCACTGGACCCCAGGGACAGATTCACACCAGCCCTCCAGGTGGGGAGGCTGGGTGGACATTTAATATAAATAATTTGTGTGTGTCTGTGTATATGTGTGTGTGTGTGTCTGAATGTGTATGTGTTTGTCTGTAAGTGTATGTGTGTCTGAGTGTGTGTGTGTGTGTGTCTGTGAGTGTGTGTGTATGTGTCTAAGTGTATGTGTGTCTCAGTGTGTGTGTGTGTGTGTGTCTGTGAGTGTACGTGTGTCTGGGTGTATGTCTGTGTGTGTGTGTCTGTGAGTGTACGTGTGTATGTATGTATCTCTGTGTGTGTGTGTGTCTGTACGTATCTGCATGTGTATCTGTTTGTCTGCATGTGGGGGGTGGCGGGGACGTGTGGGGTAGGAGGTAGATGTATGGTAGGGCCCCAGGGAAATTTTCGCAATGGGCCCCGTGGTTTCTAGTTACGCCTCTGAGTGGAAGGAGTGTGTGTACGTAGTGGATGCAATGTGTGTGTGTGTATATATACATTGGACTCTGCTGGTGGTGGCAGATTACAAGATCACAGGTAGACTTTGTCTACCCGAGCATTCAGGACCCCCCCAGGAATGCTGGGCCTGTGACAACCATCACAGTTGCGACTCCCTGATAGCAGTCCTAAGTGCAGAGATTGCCGAGCATGCTTTGTAGGTTCCCAATGTTTCTTTATAAGAAGCAGTGGATAGTAATGGAGATCATCACTAGTGATACATTTACTGCTGGAGGGTTGAGCTGATTATGTTTTTGGCCTTTTGAAAAAAGGAGAAGTTGCACCACGGAATCTAAAACAAAAAAAGAACCCCCCAAACTTAGTAATAAATGTAATGTTCCTGTAATATTTGACATCAAAATACACTGTGTAAAACATCATAGACTCTTCCCAACTCTGGATCCACTGTACTGAGAAAATCAATGCCACTACAGTAAACAATTGATTATGGCCCATTGACTGAAGAATATGAAATGTTTGTTCCTCCCAGTGGCAACCCACATATTGGGTCCTGACAGATGGGCTAAGAACCAAAGCTATATGTAATATTTAAAAGAGCTATAATTGACTTTTCCAAAATTGATCTGCATGGGTAGACTCTCTGGAAATAAAAATAAAATAAAAAAACAACAAAACAAATGTTAATCTAAATTACACAACCTCATTGTACCACAGTTTTGTGATAATCTTTTCTTTGGGAAAACATAGACATTGTTTATTTTCTGGAAATAGGTTAGAACCTCAGTATTGGGATCATGGTGGGGGAAAGAGTGATGGTGACCTGTCAGGAGTTGGAAATTATGCTTTTTATTCTAATGCCTTTGATGACTGGAAAATTATGTACTTTTTTTGTTTATGGGCCTGCATGCCTATTGATGATGTTTTAACGTGACATTTAGGCATTTCCCTCACTAAACTTTTTCTTAAACTAAAAGGACTATTATTATGTTCCCCTTGGGAGCTTGAGAAACACAACTAGAATGTTTTCCTTCAAAGATCTCAGGGTCCATGAATGAACATGTAGAATGAAAAAGTAGTAAATTATATGCTGCATTTTCACCAACAAATATGACATTCAGTCCCATAAAAAAAGAATTCAAGAACTCAAGACTTTATTTGCAAAAAAAATATTGAAACTAAAGGCTGAAAACTTTGATCCCTTGTCCTCTTTCTCTCTCCTGGTTCCAGGTCACCTCAATCTGGCAGGAAAGGTTAAACTGCTAATTGAGAACCATAATTGACTTTGCCTACCTGACCCTGCTAAATATAAATTGCTTTACCACCTGACAAGCTTGATTTGTTGTTGACGGGTTTTCTACTACAAAATATTCAATATGGCACCTTGGTACTCAAATTATCATAAAGTAATTTGATTTGATCGAGTTTGCGAAAACCCGACTCCTGGCATATTTTGGGCACTCTGTATTGTACACTTTATAAACAAATAGTTTATTTTTTTGGCTTCCACAACAAAAAAATAGGAATGCCACAATGATATAAAGAGGTCTGCCTCATCCTCAGCCAAAAGAGTTAATGAGAAACTTGGTTAAACCAGGAAATAAATACTCAGTTTGACATTAGTGTCTTCCTTGCAGGTCTTACAATTGTTCTACCACTGACAGGTTGGAGTCTGTTTTATTCATCTTTCTAACTCTACTGAAATCCTTTTTTGTTGTTGTTTTTTTCTTCCCACCAGCTTTATGTCATATGACTCACTGTCTCCTATCTTATTATCTTTCTTTGCTCAGAGACCCTCTTGTTTGTTACTTTAAATAGCTAGACTTATTTCGCGGCAGACGTATTTTCCATTAATACTATAATGTCCAACGCTATCTTTCCTCTTCCCCTGTCAACATTAATCTGAAACTTGTCTTGTTCCAAGAACATTTAATTGGCTTCTGGACGTATTGCGCAACCTGATCAACTTTAAAATGATCATTGGGACAATTTATGGCCTCAGTTTATTATTTTTAGATATGCTTTTCAAGTGATTTCATATTTTGATTTTATTTTATTTTTTTATATATATATTGAAATATTTTTATATAGGATATATAATGATGCACCAATGAAACTGCCTGAGATGGAGTTACACTTCTGGCAGCATAGGGGTTATGTTAAACTCCACATACAGGGAGTGCAGAATTATTAGGCAAATGAGTATATTGACCACATCATCCTCTTTATGCATGTTGTCTTACTCCAAGCTGTATAGGCTCGAAAGCCTACTACCAATTAAGCATATTAGGTGATGTGCATCTCTGTAATGAGAAGGGGTGTGGTCTAATGACATCAACACCCTATATCAGGTGTGCATAATTATTAGGCAACTTCCTTTCCTTTGGCAAAATGGGTCAAAAGAAGGACTTGACAGGCTCAGAAAAGTCAAAAATAGTGAGATATCTTGCAGAGGGATGCAGCACTCTTAAAATTGCAAAGCTTCTGAAGCGTGATCATCGAACAATCAAGCGTTTCATTCAAAATAGTCAACAGGGTCGCAAGAAGCGTGTGGAAAAACCAAGGCGCAAAATAACTGCCCATGAACTGAGAAAAGTCAAGCGTGCAGCTGCCACGATGCCACTTGCCACCAGTTTGGCCATATTTCAGAGCTGCAACATCACTGGAGTGCCCAAAAGCACAAGGTGTGCAATACTCAGAGACATGGCCAAGGTAAGAAAGGCTGAAAGACGACCACCACTGAACAAGACACACAAGCTGAAACGTCAAGACTGGGCCAAGAAATATCTCAAGACTGATTTTTCTAAGGTTTTATGGACTGATGAAATGAGAGTGAGTCTTGATGGGCCAGATGGATGGGCCCGTGGCTGGATTGGTAAAGGGCAGAGAGCTCCAGTCCGACTCAGACGCCAGCAAGGTGGAGGTGGAGTACTGGTTTGGGCTGGTATCATCAAAGATGAGCTTGTGGGGCCTTTTCGGGTTGAGGATGGAGTCAAGCTCAACTCCCAGTCCTACTGCCAGTTCCTGGAAGACACCTTCTTCAAGCAGTGGTACAGGAAGAAGTCTGCATCCTTCAAGAAAAACATGATTTTCATGCAGGACAATGCTCCATCACACGCGTCCAAGTACTCCACAGCGTGGCTGGCAAGAAAGGGTATAAAAGAAGAAAATCTAATGACATGGCCTCCTTGTTCACCTGATCTGAACCCCATTGAGAACCTGTGGTCCATCATCAAATGTGAGATTTACAAGGAGGGAAAACAGTACACCTCTCTGAACAGTGTCTGGGAGGCTGTGGTTGCTGCTGCACGCAATGTTGATGGTGAACAGATCAAAACACTGACAGAATCCATGGATGGCAGGCTTTTGAGTGTCCTTGCAAAGAAAGGTGGCTATATTGGTCACTGATTTGTTTTTGTTTTGTTTTTGAATGTCAGAAATGTATATTTGTGAATGTTGAGATGTTATATTGGTTTCACTGGTAATAATAAATAATTGAAATGGGTATATATTTGTTTTTTGTTAAGTTGCCTAATAATTATGCACAGTAATAGTCACCTGCACACACAGATATCCCCCTAACATAGCTATAACTAAAAACAAACTAAAAACTACTTCCAAAAATATTCAGCTTTGATATTAATGAGTTTTTTGGGTTCATTGAGAACATGGTTGTTGTTCAATAATAAAACTAATCCTCAAAAATACAACTTGCCTAATAATTCTGCACTCCCTGTATGCAGCATTTCATACTGAAACGCAGCACGTACAGACTCTGGGCACCATGACCACGTCAAATCACTGAAGTGCTTTAAGTAACCTTTAAGGACACTACCTCAGGCTATTTTTTTTTTCTGAGACAATCAATCTCCTTGGGAGGTTCATCTAGTTTGCAAGGGCGCCAGGTTATATTACAGCACCTTCAGTGCTATAAAAGGAGGAACGAAAAAACGTCTCACACTGCACATCCAGGAGATGACAGAAAAGGCAGGTGTTGGTAACCAATGACCTGGACATAACCACATCCAAATCACCTGGAATAAAATGTATGACTCAAAATCTTTTTTATACATATCAGCTTCTAGTTGGTCCCAGAAGAGATGTTTCATTTGATTAAATGTCTCAAATGTACCAGGCTAAAAAACTGTAACAAACTGCAGACTATGGCGAGCACTTTTGATATCTGCAGTAACAAAGTTCGCATATATCCAGGCCTTTTAACTGTCAGGTTACAAAATTCTTTAGATATCAGCATTCCAGATTATTATTAGGATATCGCCTTCCCCACCTTCTACTAGTCCAGAAGGATATTGATACTTTAGAGAGAATTCAGAGAAGGGCTACTAAACTGGTTCATGGATTGCAGGGTAAAACTTACCAGGAAAGGTTAAAGCATCTTAACATGTATAGCTTGGAGGAAAGACGAGACAGGGGGAATATGATAGAAACATTTAAATACATAGAGGGAATCAACACAGTAAAGGAGGAGACTATATTTAAAAGAAGAAAAACTACCACAACAAGACGACATAGTCTTAAATTAGATGGGCAAAAGTGTAAATTATTTCAGGAAGTATTACTTTACTGGGAGGGTAGTGGACGCATGGAATAGTCTTCCAGCTGAAGTGGTAGAGGTTAACACAGTAAAGGAGTTTAAGCATGGGTGGGATAGGCATAAGGCTATCCTAATTATAAGATAAGGAAAGGGAGTAATAAAATGATTTTGGCAGACTAGATGGGCCGAATGGTTCTTATCTGCCGTCACATTCTATGTTTCTAAACAGTCTGGCTTTTTCCATCACAAGGACTTAGTGGTACACCACTACACCTCATTATACCACATTTCATTGTGATGAGTGTCCTACAATAACTTAAACTACTTGCAACAGGTTCTGTTCTTTGCTATGCCCAAATGGTGACTTGGTGACACTAACCCAGTAATTCCTCCCATCCCCACCATCGATTACTAGGGATTAGGAATTCAGGTAAATTGATTATTTTATTAGAAATGTCTTTTTCTTGGCATGACTTTGGACCATGAGAACGAAGTGATTAACATAAATTAATCAGCTTGTGAAACTCTCCTATCCCAAGGCATTCACACTAGAAGCAGAATCCTTACAATGTTACTATCAGATTATGCTGCAGAAAATATCTCAGGTAATAGATCTGACATAAAACCAGCAGCAAGTAAGTAGTAATACATTGCAACAATGGTAAGAAACTCAGATTCCACACTGCTGCTTTAATAGAGGGGTTTTGTATGGTATCCCTGTACACCAGTTTCAGAGCTGTATTTAGTAGATAAACACTGTTCCATATTATTTATTTGGTTTTAGAGATTTTTCTGTGCTTCCATTTTTCTCTACTTATTTTATGAGATAATGGTGTTACACAGCATTCTCTACAGAATTTAAATACACTGGTTTTATCTGATAGATCCCCTCTGTTTAATTTCTCGTTTGACAATTATAAACCTCTACAAGTTGGTTCACACATTCATATCTGCAGTAGAAATCAGTTGGCGACAAAGCAGAATCTAAATGTATCCACATGTATATAATTGTATGATTGCAGACAACTGATTTCAAACTCGCAGCCTGCAATGGATATATTTGCGGCCCACGTGCCCTGGGACCACTTTGTGTTGTGGCTGCGACCAGCCTCAAGACAGGAAAGATATTTCCTATCTGATTCTTGTCTTCCCTCCCACAACCGATCGTGTGCTCCCGCAAGCCATCCACTCCCCCTACCCTCCTGCTCGCAGTGCCAGAAGAGCGTCTGGCCTGTTTAAGCAGAGAACAGCAGGGCTGGAACTGGAGGACTGGATGCTCATCTTAAAGTAGGGGAAGAGGGGCTAGGGGAAGAGGGGCTTGGTGGACCTTCCTGTGTAGTGTGCTAAATTGGGCAGGGGGGGCAGTATAATATTAATTTGAGGGAGAATGGAGGGTGCATTATATTAATTTGAAGGAGGGAGTGGACAGTGTATTAAATTGGGGAGGGAGAGGTCAGTGTATTATTTTATTGGAGGGAGGGGAACAGTGTATTAAATCGGAGGAGGGAGTGGGGCAGTGTATTAGAGTGGTGGGAGAGGGCAGTGTGCTAAATTGGGGGGAGGGCATGGTATTAATTTGGGGAAGGGAGGGGGGCAGTGTATGAGAGTGGTGGGAGAGGGCAGTGTGCTAATTTGGGGGGAGGGCATGTTATTCATTTTGGGAAGGAAGGGGGAAGTGTATGAGAGTGGTGGGAGGGGGAGCAGTGTATTAGAGTGGAGAGGGGAAGTGTATTGGATTTGTGGGCAGTGTATTAAAATGGGAGGAGGGGACAGTGTATTGAATTTAGGGACAATGTGAGTGCTGGGAGGAGGGGCAGTGTATTCAATTAGAGCAGAGGAAGGAGGGGTAGTGCATTACATTGGGTGGAGAGGCAGTGGATTAGAGTGGAGGGGGCAGTGTATTTGGATTTGTGGGCAGTGTATTAGAACGGGAGGAGGGGAATGTGTATTGAATTTAGGGACAATGTGAGTGCTGGGAGGAGGGGCAGTGTATTCAATTAGAGCGGAGGAAGGAGGGGTAGTGTATTAGATTGGGTGGAGGGGCAGTGTATTAGAGTGGGAGTGGCAGTGTATTGGATTTGTGGGCAGTGTATTAGAACGGGAGGAGGGGACAGTACTGAATTTAGGGGCAATGTATTAGATTGGGTCTGCATGGAGGCGCTGAAAGCTCCTCATAGAGCTGCTGATTGGCCGCGCAGCTTTTTGCCACATGTGCACAATAGCCTCCCAACGCTTTTCTATGGGGAAGCATTGGATTGGCTGAGATCATCAAGTCTGATGATCTCAGACAAAGTGAAGAACACACTCATAGGACTTCAATATCAACAAGTTAACGTAATTTGTTTTTACAGCTGTGCAACAGCATACATTCACAATTTCAGTCCCATTACCAAACATTTCTTAATATGTCAAGGTAGTTGGAGCGAAACAATGGTTATATGCAAATGTGTGTTTACTTAAAATAAATTTGCTCTTTTGTTTACTTTGAAGCCCTATGTGCGTGAGAACATCCAGTGTCAGGCAACTTTTTTATACTGTACTTTTCTAAATAAACCTATGTTTCTATGAAAACTTAAGTTTTTGCTTTTTTTTGCAGCTGACGTAAACTTAAACCTTGTTTAATGGCCCGTTTTAGCCTTTGAGTTTGACATGCATGTTGTATATTGTATTGACTGACCTATGAGCTATTATTATTATTATTGCCATTTATATAGTGCCAACAGATTCTGTAGCGCTTTACAATATTATTAGAGGGGGGATTTAACTATAAACAGGACAATTTCAAGAAAACTTACTGGAACGATAGGTTGAAGAGGGCCCTGCTCAAACGAGCTTACAGTATATAGGAGGTGGGGTATAAAATACATTAGGACAGGAAGTAGCAGTCAAATTAGGTGGGAGTGAAGCAGAGCTGGAGGAGAGAGTAAAGTGCTGCCTTTTAAGAGAGAGCAAGAGACAGGTATGTGAAGTAGAGATTAGTCTGGGAGGCCATAAGCTTTCCTAAAGAGATGAGTTTTAAGGCACTTCTTAAATGATCGAAGACTAGGGGAGAGTCTGATGGCTATAGGCAGGCTATTCCATAAGAAGGGAGCTGTTTAGGAGAAGTCGTGCAAACGCGAGTTGGCTGTACGGGTGCGAGCAGCGACAGAAGGTGGTCACGGGCAGAGCGGAGAGACTGAGAAGGGACATACCTATGGATCTGTGAGGAGATATAAGAGGGGCTACAATTATTCAGTGCTTTATAGGTATGGGTTAGCACTTTGAACTGACCCCTATAGTATATAAGAAGCCAATGTAAGGACTGACAGAGGGGTGAGGTGTGAGAGGACCAACTAGAGAGGAAAATCAGTCTGGCAGCAGCATCATTAATGTCATTATTTATCTGTTTTTAGGTTGAATATTACAGAACATTGATTTACTGGGAACGGAAGGGAAGGGGTAACAACCATGAATGACGTGGCACAAAAGACAGAGGTGGGTATTTTTTTTGACTGTTAGCACAAACATCTGATAAAATATGTAATGAATATTGCAAATACATTTTTATATGGGTATCTCAAACTGCAATAAAATGATTCCATAGGGAACAGTCTGGCTGAGCAAATTTCTACATACACTCTCTCATACGAAGCATGGCCAATGCTCCATCTGTTTATAAAGCACTATATCCAACATTGTCTACTTTTTACAATCACAACACGATTGTAGTGCCTCTGTGAATTTCTTGTCCTTAGAAATGATCGCAGAGATTATATGATTGCATATGTATATTAATAAATATGCTACATCAAAATCTTTATAACAATAATAAAAGATAATTGGTATGATGGAATAAATTAACCAATTAGATCTCAAATACCAACCATCTGATTAACAGAGAGAAATTGCCTTACTAGTGACTTCCAAAGATATTCAATGATTTTATAACAATTTACTCTGAGTGCCACCTGCTCTGCACCCCAAAACTAAAAAGTCACTATACCAATTTATCAGTTTGGCAACAAACTCCAATTTGGGCATAGTGATAACAAAGTGCTAAAAATATACAAAATTCCCCCCAAAATACGTGCTCAACAAAATAACGCAGGTATTTTTATATTCTCTATTGCCCTTGAACTCAGAACCTTTAAAAAAAAAAATAATGGAGCTGTAGAGAGTTGGCAGTAACTTATTTCAGAAACAGCCTTACCTTTTCCACATTCTTGGATAGTCATCCCTCCAATGTCTAAATAATATCGCTTCTCACATCTACATGACACATAAGCCTCAGTTTAACATTTGTTTAATAAGCTTCTTAAATGTTTTAATATATTTTTAAACATATTAAAATATATATTTTTTAATATTTGTTGATAGTTTGAAAACATTTTGAAAGTTAATACTGAAGGGATGTACATGAAGCTGTATTATTATCCTGTGCCAGGCATAGTAGGAATTCCATGGGCACAGGGTAATGCAGCACCCAGAAAGCTAGAAATGGTTGGATCATAGATAATGGTGGTGTGGTTTTCACATCTTCAGAGTGAAATACAACAAAGAGAGGTTAATAGTATATTTCTACATTGTGTACATTAAAGTGATACTAGAACGAGCATTTGTAGCTTTTCCTATTATTGTGCGATACTCCCCAATATAAATGCATACATGCCACAGCCTTGGGGTAAGAGATGGCAATCGTTGGTGCTGGATTAAAAAACAATAAATGGATGTGGAGAGCTCTCGGTTCTCAAATTGCACCTTCTATACAGTTAGCTAAAATCTCAAAACTGCAGTATAGGAAAGAAGGGTGAGGGTGAGGTACAGTTAGGGTTTTTCTGGCAGACTGATCGTACCAATATCCCAATTTTATGAATTGCTTACAATGAATTGAGAGGTGTTGGTTGATGTGACAGATCTGTGTAGTTACTGAAGAAATCGATACATTCTATAGTTGCATTCTTTCCCAATACTGTCCGTTTAGCAATAAAGTACAAACAATACTGCAAAGTCCAAACAGAAAATACAGTGTCTGTGTGTCTAAAATACAAAACAGTGTTATCAAAGGGTTCTGGAGACTTATGTTCAGTGGTTTCGAAACTATTATTTTACTGCACTTGTTTTTTTGCCATTGTATTACTTAATAAGTGTGATTAGTATATTTTTGTCCATATTCATAAAAAAGGTGTTCCTTATGCATGATCTTAAGAGTATAGCAAAGCCGTGTTAAAGGGATTATATTAAGAATTAGATGGTGTATCTGTAGCTCACAAGCAACAGCTCAAAATGTTGTGATCATTTGTATCTAGACTTTCATTATAATGGTGTACATGATAAAATCTAGAATTCTAACCCATTTTTGTATGTGTCTTGGTTGAATTGTTTGCATAGACGGGTTGCATGTGAGATGCTGTTGAGGGAAAATTACTTTGTTTCTGAAGATTCCAGGATATAAAATTTTACAGTATGGGGTTAATTAATAGTGAAAAATAATTATGCAAATCTGATTTCAGAAGGTGAAAGGTCAATTTTGAAAAAAAAAAAAAGTCACAAGTGCTGCTTGAATTTAATTATAAGTTGTAGTATGCAATGTGATCGATCCACAAATTCACATGCATCAATTGTACCAGTACATAGAGGGGGAGGCTCCTTGCTATCTCCTCCAAATATTTTTGGTTCACCAAAATGCAGATCTCGTTTCTACAAGTGGAGCCATGTAAATATTAAATTGACTCTGAATTGTTCTAGAATCTAGAAGATAGATGTGTCTGCCCAGGGTTAGATTAACATAGGGACTGTTGGAGCTAAAGCTTAATACTGAATTTTTTTATTGTTGTGACCTGTGCTGCCTGAAATGCTGGGTGCCCTACTTACAGCATGTGGCCAGCAAGGAACTGATATATTCCTTGACTTGGCTGAGCTTCATGGTACACACCGTCCATGGAACCTAAAATGCCAGCGGTAACTTTGGCTATGTATAATCTATATATTTGTATCTGATCTGTGCCCTAATTAACAACTGGAGGGACCCAAACATGTCCAGAAGCCACTGCACATAGGAGTGTCCTTTCTCTACTCCAAACTATTTGCACACAGACATACTGAACTCCCGACCCATTGGATGGATTACCGGTGGCCTGTGACCTCTTGCTTTCCCAGAAGATTTCCCAGTGGCATAGCTTGCTTGTACAGACTATTTTATATACTTGAACTTTCCAGTTTCTGAATACCTATAGGGATGGTTTCCTATATGTCTGCAAAATCAATTTCAAATGAAGGTCAGGCATTTTTGTCTTTCTCTCCTAATCGCCCCAAAACATTGTCCATCACAGGATGAGAGTACTGACAAATGACACTTGCACTTCAGAATTTTAATTCTATATTATATTTTGGTTTTCTTTACCTTGTCTGCTTCTTTTCTCTTTCTCTCAATTTAAATCATGTGAGACTTCAAAGTAAATATCAAATTTAATGTCAAATTAGCCAAACTGGAAGCATAAGTGATTTAGAGATATTTTTTTCCACTTCGGCTATTTCAACCCTAATTTTGAAATTCACTCTGAATTCGACTTAAATTCCCACTTTAGTAAATAATCCTGACAGTTTATTTTCTTTGAAATATCGGTTCTAGGTCAGATAAAATTATTTTCAACCACTTTCATGCAAATAAGGAAATTATTTATAAAGGCTCATGACCCGATCCCTGACATAACCTCTGTCATTTGTATTGATTGGAACTAATTTACATTTTATATTAAAGAGAATGTTGTACCACATCAGCTGATATTAGCTCTACAGGCTGAGTTTGTTACAATAAAAAGATGGTTTGTGAATGCATAAATGTGTGCATCTCTCTTATACATGCACAACCTTGTCCACAGAGAATTAAAAACTTCTAAAACGGAATTACTGTGCATGGAGTCATGCTATAGAACAATCAAATATATTGCTCAACTGCACTCCGCTGTAGATACTATTTACAATCTACCTATCGCACTGTACCATCAAAATGACACTTTTCAAAGAGGACACACTGAGCATTAGGATAATGAATACACTTCGATTGTGTCGTCACATCCTTTCCATATTTTATTTCCACAGCTCCCCATAAAACAGGTCCTCACTATTACATTGTAGGGCAATGGTGCTTATTCACTAGACCAGGAATTATAGGAAGACTGAAAAGAGCCTCAATTATGTAATTATTACAGGTAGCATTGTAACGTGCATTGGGGACAGAGAAAGGCAAAATGTATTACAAACAATATTGAAAAACATTCTTACAATATAGAGAGCATCTCTCATTTACTCAAAGTCCCAGTGGTCATAAATATACCGGGATTGTGGATATGCAAAGAAAGGAAACTCAACATTTCCAATCTATGAACACTCTTATTGAGACAAATAGCAAATAACCCCTCTCCCCCCAGGGTTACAATGCAAAGTCTGTTCTTTCGCTCTATTCCTACTTTTTCTAACTTCTGCCTTTCTATCCTGTCTTTCCTGTGTTTCTCATCTGAAAGATTCTGCTTTCTACATCTAAGCCTGTCCAAAAAACGTACGTCCCAAAAATTGGCAAAGGAGATGTAATGAATAAATTTGAAGCCATGCAGAAAGCCAGAGAGGAGCGGAGCCAGAGGAGATCGAGCGACGAAAAACAACGGAGGAAGGAACAGTACAACAGAGAGAGGATATTCAACAAAAAAAAGCAAGAGGTTGATTTTCTTGCTGTTTATTTAGTATTTGAAATAACATCCTGTTATAGCAAGAAACCCTGTGCTTCACTGTAGAGGAAATTCTATGTACAATCAGTAATTTAGGACACATTGCACCATACCAAGAGACAAGTAAAGTAAAGTTGAGTAAAGTATATTAATTGACCAAGCAGATTTAGAGTGCAAGCTTGTGAGCAACTTAAAGGGACACTATAGTCACCTGAACAACTTTAGCTTAATGAAGCAGTTTTGGTGTATAGAACATGCCCCTGCAGTCTCACTGCTCAATCCTCTGCCATTTATGAGTTAAATCCCTTTGTTTATGAACACTAGTCACACCTCCCTGCATGTGACTTGCACAGCCTTCCATAAACACTTCCTTTCCTTATTGCAAGTTCTGTTTAATTAAGATTTTCTTATCCCCTGCTATGTTAATAGCTTGCTAGATCCTACAAGAGCCTCCTGTATGTGATTAAAGTTCAATTTAGAGATTGAGATACAATTATACTCCAAGGTTTTCAATCTAAATTTATTCAATTATCCCATATAGGTATCACTATTGCTCACTATTCTCCCCAACACTGTTACTTTTAACAACACCAAGACGCTCTCTTCTGCACTTCATAGGACATGGTGACAAAATGATATCCCTCCAGACAGCCTTTTAAATTATCATGGAAGATCTAGCTCTTAAAACTGCCTTTTGTCCATACCTAGTGGGTAATTCCATATACTGAGTATTAATAATACAAAAAAAAACCTACAAGGTTATATCACTTGTGTTGGTGCCCGATTGGCACATTTGCCCTATAAACAATGAACCTACATCAATTTGAAACAAACTACTCAATACTCTCAATTTAACAAATGTATTTGTTTAAAGAAATGCTATATGCACCCAGACCATTTCAGGAACAGGGGTGAAACAGAAGAGTATTTATTCAAGGAGTTTGTAAACAATTCCATGGCCAGATTACTCACAAGATGGCTGCGAAGGGCCCATGACTTAGACAAACGCTTCTTGTTATGGAAGGTGGTCAAAGGTGACTCCTCACATTTTTGCACCACTTTTTAGCACAGAACACTAATAAATCTCTCCCATTACTTTAAAGTGTCAAAGGTTGACATTATAAAAAGTTTTTAAAAATGCTTAAAAAGAGGAATACATACAATAGTACACAATAGATAAATACTACAATAACATGGCAAAAGAAGTAAAACTGTCTCAACAATGTGCAATGAAAAAAATACATTAGGCATGAATTATAAAAAATACAAAAATATTTTTTTTAACAAAATTAAAAAAAAACAACACAAATGCAAAAAATAAGTGGCAAGTTCTAAATCTATTTTTTTTTTTGTATAGGATGTTTCATAAATAATACTAAATATCCCAGTAATTAACAATTTTGACATAAACAAATTCGGATTCAGTGTAAAGTACCATTTGGGGCAAAAGTTCTAAAAGTGGAGCAATCACCATGGATACTAGTGGGATATTTCTCTGAATTGCTTTACTTTTTACTTACTCCAAGAAAGCCAAAACCGTTCTGAGAAAACAATAACATTTTCCACAGTTATGTTGTGTATATATGGAATTCCACAAACAAATAGTAGTTCTGGTTGTGCTTGTTATATCACCCACTAGTTATAAAGGTGAGACATGATGTATCCTTGAATACAGACTCTAGAATGTTGAAGTCATACTAATAAGTCATAGTTTTAAACCTATTTGGAACATTACAGATGTAACCTTTTATGTGCTTTTTGAAAATATATTCTAGATGAAGGAATTACTGGCATCTGACGATGAAGAGGAAAGTAACTCAAAACAAGTGGAAAAGGGATTTGTTCCAAAGCTGACAGGTACATAATTATATATTCTGTACTGTTTAGGGTCAAAATGTGTTTTATTACCCATATTGTCTTATTGTAAGAACATGGAATCCACAACCGTTTTTGTATTTCCTCTGGGCACAGGAACAGTTAAAGGAAAGTTTGCAGAAATGGAGAAGCTCAGGCACGAAGAAGAGAAAAAGAGAATGGAAGAAGAAAGAAAAAGAAGGATGGAACAAGATTTAAAGGAGAAGAAAAAGATACAGCGAGAACTTGCCAAAAAAGCAGAGATGGTATGTATAAAATCTTGGTAATCACTGAATTCTGCAATATATACCAAACCAGTAAACATATCATCTATGCATTTTTAATTTTGAATGGAAGTTGGGTGCACTGCATCACCTTCATGTAGCCAAACAATTCCGTGAGTGCCAGTGGTGTCAGAAAATGAACGTTACATTGGTCACATTCGTGGTAGTATCACCCTTTCAGCTCATTTCAAGGAATATGCTAGATATGTATCCTTACCACTAGAGTGTTATACTAGCTAGTTAGATTCCCCTCACCCCCACTTTAAGTTAAATAAATAGATACCATATTTCCCCTGGGGCGCCGGTCTCACCACAGCCGATACGCATCCCGGGTTGAGATAATTCGTACTGATGATCGCAGCCAATCCAGTGCTGTCCTATTGAAATCCGAGGGGGCAGTGTTAAACTGCTGAGCTGTAGGGACAATATATTTGCTCAGAACCATTACATTAAGCTGTAGTGGTCCTGGTGCCTAGAGTGTCCTTTTAAAGGAACACTCTTTTGAAAGATTTAAAGAATTTTGTAGATATACCCCAAAAGAAAACATGCATGAATATTTTTATTATATGACAAAACAGCTTGCAACCGCTGCAGACCTGTTGTCTGCAGCCTTTGCAACCCTCCTCTAACTTTCAGTCTGTGATGTGGAATACTCCAATCAGAGCCTTCTCTGCAGCTAAAGTGTGTAATGTGTTTGCAGTGTTCCTTTAAGTGCAGTGATCAAACAGCATTATGATCTTTCTGTAGGTTCACCATCTATTGCAAAACATTACAGATCAGCACACTATAAAAATTACTGACTAGGTTTAAATAATTACTAGATTATTGCATGGAAACATAGATTTATAGCAATAACGTAAAATCTGGACTGCACCATTTACAGGATTCAAGAAATCTGGACAACCTGCTTTCATTTGAATTAAGATATATTTTGTACGATATCATAATAAACCACATTCTAACTCTAAATTATAAGTCCTTATAATGAAATGTAATGAGTTCTCAACAAGTACATTTATTTTCTTGGCTTTTACATATGTCCTGAACCTGTCTACCTTTGAAGGATCTGTTTAATTTTAGCAAAAACATCATTTAATAATCTAAAATTCTCATTCAATAGATTGATGTCATTAACTGTACTGGAAGTGGCTCGGAAATGGAGGTAACCAGACATTTCTACTTCATAATAATACATCTTTCTTTTCTTTCTTCATTATTTTCATCTTTCATTTTCACTAAATACATTTTATATAACAACATCTACCAAGGATACAAATGGCACCATTTTATACTTGAAAGCACGTTATTGTTCCAATACCCAGTCAATAATTCTGGTTATAATGTTGACAAGTGAAGCTAACACACTAGTCTACTTGGGCATCAATCTCTTTGATGTTTTCACAGGACTAAGCAAAAAGAAGCGTTGATCACTTAAAGGAACACTATAGCGTTAGAAATAGAAACCTGTATTGCGAACGATATAGTGCCTTATTTGCAGATTTCGTTTAGGTAACCACCCCCCTCTTCTAGTAAAAACCTAAAAAAAATAAGCAACCTTTGGCTCTTGAGCCAATGGCCAACCCATTGCTCCTCATAGAGGAACAGCGAAAAATTGCTGTACAAATTTTTCTCGGTCAGTATAGAGGAAGCACCTTTAGGAAGACAGTCACTAGAGGTGGATTTAAACCTGCAATGTAAACATTGCAGTTTCTAAAAAAAAATGCAATGAAAAAAATATCAATGTTTTACATTGTAGGGTTAAAACGAGAGCACTGCACCCAGACCACTTCTTGGGTGACTTTATTGGTTCTTTAACACAGAATTGCAGTGAACTAAATACCGAATTGATATTCATGGTTAAATAGGCCAAATGTTTTCCAAATCCTAAAGCCTAGATTTTGCAATTCCATTTACAGTTCACTATTATTTGGTACCTAGTTCATGGGATATTTTAAACAAGGAGTCATAACTTATTATTTTATAATACTTTAATCTTTGCATGTCACTATGCAACAGTATGCTTGAATAAACTTAGTCATGTAATCAGGATCTGGCACCAAGCATCCCAAAAAACTCTGCATTAAAATTAATCTTAATAAAATACACTGTCACTCAGCAGTGTCCTTTCTCACACTTCTGGCACTGTACGGGTTGAATGATTTTATTGTTTAATAATACGAGGACAAATAACAGCTATGTGAATGTCACTTTATGACACTAAAATGTCCTTGATGTAATGAGTTTTATACATACCCAACATGTATTTTGATGTAACTAAGTTCCAGCAACATTCAAAGTAACCAATTCAAATCTGAAAGGTTTTCAGTAAAGGATTGTTACTGATGGCAGATAGAATGTCAGTTACCAATCAGAATCTCTTATTTGGTAAGTAGCGCTCTGGACAATCTGTTAACGCTGAATGACACTGTACCCAAAAGAAATAATGGTTAGTCAGAAACATTTTTTTTTTTTAAATAAACCAACACCAAAAAAACCTCAATAACTGCTGGACAGAGTTATAGAAGATCAACTCAAGGTATGTATCTGGTAATAAAGTACTAAATATTTGCAAAGATATTTAATGAAAGGAACACTAGAACTAGCAATACAAAGCTAGTTTAAAATAAAGAAAATAAAGATTTTACTCATCTTTTTCTAGCTGCTCATCTCTCTTCCTACTGCAATGTTGTCTCATGGCCTCCTCCGGCAATGGTCCAGTCCAATATTCCTCACAGAGGAGTCTTGGGGACTTGATGAGCCCTGTGCACACATTCAAGATTCCCCAAAGGAAATAATTTCATTCACTGTTTTCCCATGAACTTCAACGTCACATGACCAAATATTCCTCAGCCAGTGCAGTGGAAGCGCCTCTAGTCGTTGTCGGGATGACAGCCACTCAAGTGGCTTTAACCCTGCAATGTAAACATTGCAGTTTCTAAGAAACTGCTATGTTTTACATTGAAGGTTTAAAACTACAAGGCCACTGCAACCAGATCACTTTATTAAGATGAAGTGACATGGGTGACTTTAGTGGTTCTTTAAGCACAGCCTTATTCATTGACAGTAATGTAAGGCTAATACACTGTCTCAAAATTGTGTCCCTCTGTATAGCCTTAACAATATAACAAACATTGGAGCCATTTGCCCTCTGTGTGTGCACTTAGATATACATTAGTCTCAAAATGCACAGATCTGTTACTTTTTGATGCTTAATAGTTGAGTTGCTAGGATGTCAAGTTTGCCACTCGAAATGCAATTGCATAAGGGTGCTAATGAACCTTTACAGTAAAGTTCTAATGAAACCTCATATTATGTGTAAAGCTATGCTGTATAATATGTTGCACTGTATCTATGCACTTCTTAATGTGACACTCTAGACTCTAAAACAACTTTGGCTTCATGAAGTCGTTTTGGTGTACAGATCATGCCCCTGCATCCTTACTGCTGTATTCTCTAACATTTATAAGGTAAATCACTTTTGGTTCTGTTATTGTGTCCCTAGCCACTGACTGTAACTGGCACAGTCAACATGAAAAAGTGGTTTAAAATGTTACTCCAACCATGATGACCACTATTGCTGTACATACAGAGAAATTAGTTACACCTGGTACATGTATTGTAGACAGCCTGGAACAATGTCAGTTCTGTGCATATTTTATGCCTGTCATAAGCGTGCAATGTAAAGAGATTCTCCCTCGCTTGCGTGTATGGGGAGCTTTTCTCACCCCTAATGCTCTTTCTCTCTCCCACCTCATTTCATTGTCAGTTACTTTTTTTTTTTTAAATCCCCTGAACTGCCTTCTTCCCCGCTCCCATCCCTCCCTGGCTCAGAGCACAAGCATGTGATATGAGCTTACAAAACAGTCCAATCAAAGGCATCTCTGTAAGAAGCCTTTGATCGGACCACAAGAGGCTCTTGGTGACTTCTGAAGAGGCATGGACAGCAGCGCCGGGCAATTACAGATAAGTTTAAATCTTTTGTGTTTTTTTGCATTTTTGAAAGAGAAGGACCTAGCCAGAAATGCATTTGAATTTGAAGTTAAACACACAGTGTGTTTACTTACAATTTCTTCTTTTCTCCTCTGTTAATTTTAATCATGCACAGGAATGCAACTTGATTCACTGGTGACAGGATGTGTCCTCCCACTAAAGGGGTGTGCTAACCAAGTGCCAAATATGCCAGGCTTGACCGCCTCCTGGTCAGCCCCCAACATGGAAGAAGTGTTCTGTGTATGGCCCCATTGCCCCTCGCACAGCTCAAGTGCATCTAATTATGTGCTGTACTCCCTGTAGACTGCCCCCTGGTACAGAACAGCAGGGAACAAAATCAGGAAAGTTGGAGTTGACTCTTAAATAGGGACAATTGGCAGGCCTGCATGGGAGTGTACGGTACATCGCATTAGGATGTGTACCCAGTATCTTTAATGCTAATAACAAAGAGGTGACTATGTAAATATTGTTAAGTTCAGAAAAATCTTTGATTTGAGCGGTAGGGTTGTGGGGTGATGTGGCGAGCCAGCATAATGTTTAATTTAGGTTTACTTTTGTCCAGTCTCCTAGTGTGGCTTCATATTCTCTTGGATCTTCAACAAAATCCATGGATTATCTACCCTGCTCTCTCTTAACTTATTTGGAGTTATTGAACTTCCCAAAGTCTAATAACTCCAAAGTTATTGAACTTCCCTTGCACATTTAGCAACATACCTGTATTTCCTCAATTGTAACAGGATATGGTTATATAAATACGATCCTGGTTGTATGCCATGCCACCGGTTGATGTTTTTGGTGGTATTCATGTGGCCGCAATGTGTTATACTGTTGCCTTCCTCGGCAGCCTGAAATAGTAGATGATGATAGAGCCTGCTACTCCAGTATCTTGCGGACTAAAGTTCACTGCTAACTTTTAGCTGGCAAGAAACATACCCACTCCCCAACCCCTTCTTGAAGGTAATTAATAGCATTGACTAATATCTTACTAAGTCATATAATAACTCTAATGACCTAATCTCAATATTTATTTAAAAAATATTTTACCAGGATGGATATGATTTCTCTCGTTTTCAAGTATGTCCTGGGTCTTTGTCCACAAAACATTGCATTGTTACAATAGGATACAATATTACAAAAATACAATATACAAACTATATATGTACACACATATATAAATGTAATACATAACAGGTAATAAATATATTCAACCATGGCAGGTGCATTCTGTGCTGAGGTATATTGCCATAGATCGCTTAAAAGATTTTAGATTGAATGAAGGTTTGACTGTGTCCCTGAGGTAATTCCATAATTGCGGTGCTCTGTAGGAAAAGGAGGATCGAGCCACTTTATTTTTGTGTTGCGGTATGCTAAATATCGTGCTAGTACTGGATTGGAGGTTATAGGAGTTTGGAACCGTCGGGGAGAGCATTCTACTCAGGTAGGGTGGGAGCTTCCCAGAAATGCTCTTGTGCACAAGGCTGGAAAGATGAAAAGTGCTTCGGGATTCCAGTGACAGCCAGTTTAGCTCTTTTAACATGTCACAGTGGTGGATAAAGTAATTACATTATAGTACAAAGTGGCAGAACAAATTATATAACGTATTAAGTTTATTAAGGTGGGTTTGCGGAGCGAGTGCTTACACTACATCCCCATAATCAATGACTGGCATTAGCATTTGTTGCACTATCTGTTTCCTTACTATAGGGCTTAGGCAGGATTTGTTTCTGTACAGGGCACCTAGTTTTGGGTAAAGTTTTGAAGATATTTTTTCAATGTAAAGGCCAAAAGATAGATTGGGGTCTAGATATTTGAAAGAGCAGACTGCTGTAAGTGTGCTACGTGAATTTGTTCGGATACACAATTGTTGATTTTGTAGTTTATGTTTTGTCAGTGTTTAGGAAGAGTTTGTTATCCGCTATCCACTTTTCTACCTCTGTGAATTGGTTTTGGAGCACAGCCTCAAGCTGCGCTAGCTTGGGTTTACTAGCGTAGATTACAGTGTCATCTGCATACACGTGTACAGTTGAGGATTTGCAGACGTTAGGCAGATCATTTATAAATAATGTGAATAGCAGGGGGCCGAGTATGGAGCCTTGGGGAACACCACACGTGACTGGAAGAGGGAGGGAAGCGTATCAGAAATGGCCACATATTGCAATCGGTCTGAAACATACGATCGAAACCAGGTTAGCGGACGATCACCAATGCCTGAGTTTTTACGTTTTTGCAAAAGAATGCCATGGTCTACTGTGTCAAAGGCCTTGGCAAAATCAAGGAAAATAGCTCCAGTTAAGTCTCCTTGTTCCATGCCAATTTGGATGTCATTGCAAACTTTTAAGAGGGCAGTCGAAACTGAGTGATTTGGACGAAAACCTGATTGATAACAGGTCAGATAATTTGATCGTTGATAATATAAATACGGTGGGATTTAATTCTCTTTTACAATACCAATTGAGATCTAGCCCTGACATTCTCTGGGGCTCTGTTGTAGCTACACAGACGGGGCATTACTCGCACTTTAATTGGACTGGACAGTTATGTTATCTTATTTTTTTAATTGCTTTCTTTTACCTTGCATTACTGTTGAATATGTGCATGTAAAATATTTCATATGCACTATCAACATGTTATACTCTATTTGCTTTATTATCGATACTACGATGCATGACCTGTCAATTATATCTTGCATTCACAATTAATAATTGAAAACACATGAAATGAAAAATTTGGCCTGGCAACACATGGCCCACTTCTTGTGCATGCCTATGTATACATTATTGCCACATAGAAAGTTAATTGCTAAATAGAATGGTTCACTATCTGCAAAGTGGAGTCATTTTACACTTATCTTAATTTTACATTCCAGTAGCTGCCAGCATGGTAGCTCTATTAATAGACTCGATATGACAGTGACAAACTGATACAGCAGGTGGTGAAAGCCCTGCCTGCAAGCTAAGAGGTGTTTAGATCCACAGTTTAAGCATACGATTTGGCAGTTGTGTTGCCAGGTATCCATCAATGAAAAAGCATGGTCTAAAGACACTGCAAAGACTAGTAATCCTCTTCAAATAGACGTTGGGTTTGAGGAATGTTTTCAAAGTCAGAGACTACATTGTTGTGTGTTCCAGAGATGTGGCGCAACTGGAGAATGTCCCATAGATATGAAATTTAGGAATTGATAAAAAAAAAAAATGGGGGTGAGACTTAAGTTATGAGTGGAATGGCCAAGATGGAAAGTGACGAGGAATTACAGCACATATGATAGGTTGATTTAACTTGTATTCTTGATGAGATGTAATGTCAGAAAAGCAGCAGACAATGGCGGGATGAGCACATAACCCCAATCTCTTTCCTCCTGTCGGTGATAAATGCTGAAACTGAGTGGATCAGTTGATTTGGAAAAGTTCCCCACTACTGTTGTAAAAGCTTGGCTATTGTAGACATAATATTTATATTTTGGTTTTCAGTTCACTGTTTAGTGTATACACTGTAATGTAACCTCCAACAGATTTTGGCTAATGCAATTCTTTAGGACATCATGGACCTTGAGAGAAGCATCGGCTGTTGATGGATACCTTGTGTCTATGGAATATGCTAATTTCTATATTAAGCTGTTCTGTAACTATAATAAATATTACAGATTTGCACTTTACCAGTTTGTTGGGGACCCCTTACTATCAGATTTGTTGTCCTGTAAAACAAGAGGGTCTCTCAGATACATTTTAAAGGATATGCTTTTCATACTCTGGGTAATACTAATGAAAGGTTAAACGGACATGTGCCTCACAACTTTTAACCTTTTTTATGGGTATATAGGATTCCATGAAGACAAAAGTTGGGAGGCATGGGTGAGCATGGTGAGAAGGACTGTAACATCCTGTATGCATTAAAGCTAAGTGAGAAGAATGACAAGCAGGGGGAGACTCTGACACTGAATTTAGTTTATTTTGTATCATATTGGCTGAGAAACTGGCGGATGTAATCAAAATTCAGAAGAATCTGTGACTGGGTGAGAGGCGAAGGTGTAATTAAATGACTGTCAAATATTCATATGAAAGCATCGCCATCTGCAGGTTTTAGTAGAAATTGCAATTCTTGCAACTTTCTTTACTGATGGAGACAGCACTGAATGCCTGTACGTGTGTTGTAACTTATATAGCGCCAACATATTCTGCAAGGGTATAGGAAAAAAAAAAAAGAAGCTAATAAATGACAAAATTTCAAGGTAATCATATGCAAGCGAATAGGGCTCTGTTCAAGCAAGCTTATAATATATGAAGAAGTAGGGTATAACAACACAAGAGAAAGAAGATAGTGTAAGAGGGAAGGAGACACAGATATGAGAAAGTTATAAATCAGGATTGATTGTTGATGAGACACAGAACAGACTGGTCATCAATCCAATCATTTTCAGTTTTTATGTTTCGATTTAAATAATCTACTAGTGTAGGGTAAGACAAAATTCTGTATCAGATTACTTGCTTCATGTTAATGAATACCCTTTAATATATGCATGTTCTACCTTGTGAAAAGAAAATAAACATATTAAAATGGAGGAAAGATAGGTTGCATAGCTCTCAAAGCTGCTTGTATGCAATCTATGTGGTTCCCAAAACTTCACATTTGATATAACAATGAAATTCTTTCTTCATTTACATTGGAACTGATCCTCTCTCGAATGTTCTGCAAATCTTAACTACTCTTTCATATTCCTTTAATCATATTATTTTCCTTCAAAGTAGACTATTTTAACCTAGGGCAGTTTCTCTTTCAAAACAGGAAGGAACTGAGGAAGTGGCTGAAGTAGCCACACCAGTGACAATAAACAGATCCCCAGGGAAAATAAATGTCAATTTTGAAGATCTAGAAAGAGAAAGGGAAGAAGAAGAGAAGCAGAGACGAGAAGAAGAAAAAACGAGGCGATATGATGAGCATAGGCGGTCATTCAGGGAAGCTAAAAGACACTCCACTGCCATGGTAACAGTTAGATGTATTTACCGGTCTTGGGTTTTCCTTATTAACTGTACATTGAATGGTAAAAAAAAGGCATTCCATCAAGAAGACATTCTATTGACGGCTAATCTAGCATAGAAAAACTCCTCTCGGCATCGTGCTTCACTTTTAAAAGTTTGTTCCAGAGTTGTTACGTCTATCGTAAAAAATAGTAAAGCGTTACTGTGATTTTGTCAAATAGGATGAATTTGTTAAATAGGATATCATTTTACCTTCTTTGGTGCAGCTAGGAAAAATGTAGATGTGTGAAGCAATAAATCCTTTTTTTTCATTATTTTAAGGATGAAACTGAGACTCAGGACAAGAAGACAAAGGAGAATTTAACACCTGGCAAACTGAAAATGACATTCGAAGAGCTAGAAAAAGAAAGACAAGAGCAGAAAAAAAGGCACGCAGAGGAAGAGGCCCGTCTTCGTTTAGAAGAAGAGAGACGAGCGTTTGAAGAAGCAAGACAAAATATGGTGACAACACCCATGAAAATTATACTTAATTAAAATCACTACTAAATAATAGAAGTTTCTCAATATTTTCTCCATCATATTTAATTTATCATTATATAAAACTCTGGCAATTATATTAACCAATTAAAAATATATTACATTATACCTCCCTACCCCCAATGACAAATTGTAAATTAAATCCTTATTACCTTTAAAGGGGACTGAGGATGATGAAGAAAGGTCAATGGACATGTACAAGGAGGAATTTCGGCCGGGCAAACTGAAGTTGAGCTTTGAGGAATTAGAGAGACAGCGGAAAGAAGAAGAGAAAAGGAAAGCAGAGGAGGAAGCTAGACGTAGAATAGAAGAAGAAAAAATGGCATTTGCTGAAGCGAGAAAGAACATGGTAGGGTATTTATTACACGCCACCTAGCTGTGCTGCAGAGTATTTATATAAGTCAATATGGAGTAATCACCATGGAATGGAGACCAATAGAATGTCTCTCAACATTTAGCACTTAGCATTACATATAGCACTTGTTTTTGATAAACCTCCTTGTATTTTATTATACCTTGTGTTACTGTAAGGGGGATCATGTGCTTTGTTTGCTGCTTTAACAGGCATATCAGGAGGAAGATGAAGAAAGTTTACCAGAAACCTCAAAAGAGTTTATGCAGACCGGGAAGCTGAAGCTGAGTTTTGAAGAGCTGGAGAGGCAACGACAAGAAGCTGAGCACAGGCGGGCAGAAGAAGAAGCACGCAGACGGCTGGAAGAGGAGCGCAGGCAGTTTGCAGAAGCTAGAAAGAACATGGTTGGTTCTCACTTCGAATCTAAAGATCTAGTGTTATTTGTATGTCTGTTCTAAAATGCCATTATGGAAACAAAGTTCTAGCAGTGGAGAAAATGCCATGCAAACCCGAAAGACTGGGCCTAGTGATAGCTCCACGTTTAAAGGAACACTATAGTCACCTAAATTACTTTAGCTAAATCAAGCAGTTTTAGTGTATAGATCATTCCCCTGCAATTTCACTGCTCAATTCACTGTCATTTAGGAGTTAAATCACTTTGTTTCTGTTTATGCAGCCCTAGCCACACCTCCCCTGGCTATGATTGACAGAGCCTGCATGGAAAAAAAATACTGGTTTCACTTTCAAACAGATGTAATTTACCTTAAATAATTGTATCTCAATCTCTAAATTGAACTTTAATCACATACAGGAGGCTCTTGCAGGGTCTAGCAAGCTATTAACATAGCAGGGGATAAGAAAATCTTAATTAAACAGAACTTGCAATAAAGAAAGCCTAAATAGGGCTCTCTTTACAGGAAGTGTTTATGGAAGGCTGTGCAAGTCACATGCAGGGAGGTGTGACTAGGGTTCATAAACAAAGGGATTTAACTCCTAAATGGCAGAGGATTGAGCAGTGAGGCTGCAGGGGCATGTTCTATACACCAAAACTGCTTCATTAAGCTAAAGTTGTTCAGGTGACTATAGTGTCCCTTTAATACTAACTTACCTCAGAATTGCTCATCATGCATAATTTGAATCCAAAATCTGCAAAGGAAAGTAAACCCAGCATGTTTTACATTATAGGGTATGAAATCTTCCCCACCCCCCTTTTTTAAATTGGGGTTTATTTATATCTAAACATGAAAGGCCCATTGCTGTTCACCTGGATACAGCCCCCCACCCCCAACAATGCTAAATTAGATGTCTAGTCATTCCAGAAAAGTCCCATTGCATCTACAGACCCTTATTAAGGTTCCAATTAAGGGCATGATTGCATTTGCATGTTTTACAGTTAAATTACACTGTAGGGAATTCTTCACTCTTGGTTTGGCTACATGGCAATATAAACATAAAGGAATGTTACTATTCAATAAATGCATTTAGGCTCCTAACGCAGTTCTAGTGGATGTGCATGCGCAGTAATTGCATTTTCTGAATGGTTTGGAATCTTACTAGCTTTAAAATGTAAAGCTTTGAAAGCTAGGCAAAATGCAACTGTATGTCTGACATGTGCTGAAACAATACCCCTTGTTTATGCAGAAACCTTGCACTTTCCTAATTATTTTTTAAGCATGCAGATCCAGATAGCATTCATCTCGCTGTGGAGGGCTGTGAAATGGACAGTAATGACACATGCAAAGTAAGATTCACTTAATAAGGTGCTCCAAGCTTAATTATTTACAACTTCATAATAATAGTGCAGTGATGGCTAACAGTACCACAATAGATGCTTGTAAACTGTATTTCCAATGCTTTGTCTGCTATCTTTTTCTAAGAGTTTATATGCTTTATCATTCTTTTATGTCACAAGATTCTGTAATTCTTTACAGGGAAATGTTTTTAGTATAATGAACCATACCTCCCAAAAGTTCAAATGGCCAAAGAGGGGCACATTCATTCTGGAAGGTGTGGTTGAGGAGGAGTGACTTGGAGCAGAGCTATCTTAAGACATTTTTTGTGACTTCATGACTTATTGATAATACGCAACTGAACATGTAATTTCAACTAGACCACTTGTTAACTTCTCAACAAATGTTCTTTAACAGCTTTATTGCTGTGACTGCTTTAAAAAAAAAAAATTAAAAAAATAATAATTGGGGGTTCCTAGGAAAAAGGCATACATGGATAGAAATGAGGGACCGAGGGACCAGGGATTCGGGATCAACACAGTACAAAAATGTTCTATATGTTTTTTTAAAAAAAATTATTGAATACACATGGATGCAAAGTTAATTTTAGTAAAGAGATAAAGATGCTTCATAGGTTAAGATAGATATTTTCGCATGTTTTAGCTATAGTGTGTATATCTAAAAATAAGTTTATTTCCTGTTTTCGCTTGAACGCATGGCCAGAAGTAATTCTAAAATTGATTAACTAATACTGTGCAATGATTTCCTGGTTAATGCATGTTACAGGGTGATAATAATAATAATATTGATAATAATAATAAAAAATAGACTTCCTTAGAAATTGTTTGATGGGATGCAAAAACAAAAAATAAGTTATATTAAATAAGTAATTTCCTCTTCTCCCCTATTTTAATGCTCTTTTTTTCAAGCCCTGCTTGTTCTTCAGACATATGAGGTTATATATTAAAAGACAATCAGGGGCAAAATTCTAAAATTATGCATGTCCACATGGAAACCAATGGAATGTGCATACTGGTTACTTAACTATGCACAAATCATAAAATGGTTATTAATTAACAAGAGAATAAAAAGGGTGTGTACTATATGTGACACAGAAACAAACAGTGCTACCACATGGAAAAGTGTACCTCACATACACGCATGAATATGGCAAAAAACAAAATGTACTTTATACAAGATATATACCGAAAAATCGGAACCAGAAAATGTCGGGTAACTCTTTTCATGAAATAGATCAAAAATAATAGTGAAAAATAAATAACAGATGTGACAACCAGAGGCAATCTTAATAGATTAAAATGGTAGAAGACATAACCCTCCCAACACCTCTATAAGTATTAGGGAATATTCTTTATTAATCACTAAGGGTAATGGTTAGGGTATGTCTATTAAATTACTAAATTGGGATAGAGCTATAATTCCAAAGATCAAAATTAAATATATTTAAATGAGGGTTAGGCCCTTATCAGTTGGGTACTCCTCGTGAGACCTTTTCCTTTTCTTTTTTTATTTTTTTTATACTTTTATAACCCTGTGGGGAAGTATAAACAAAAAGGTGGTATAGCACAATGAGATTAATAGAGGATACAACCAGCAATAAACAGGATGGAATATAATGGTGATCTGAAAATATAAAATAACATATAGTGAAGTATATAGAGTTGGATGGCTAAATCCAGGAGGAAGAAAACTTACAAAAGAACATAGATGGTCTGAGCATATCTCCCCTCAGGGGTTATCTTTAGATGGTGAAAACTCCTTCCAATTGGCTGACTCCTCAGAGGGATAAAGAGAGTAAATGCATATAGTATAATACTGTTAAATTATAACAAAGATTTATTCACTGATTGCACTTACATCAATGCTGAAATCAACTGGCATATCTCCACTAGCAAGTGGATCAAGGTGGTATTCCAATAAAGCAAGATAATATGGCAATCAAATATTGCAAGGTAAAAATAAAAAACAAATGTGAATGAGAATGGACAAAATAAAAATCCAACGCGTTTCGTCAAAGGCTTGACTTCCTCAGGGAACATCTTGGGAACAAAGCCATTTCATCTTGCTTTATTGGAATACCACCTTGATCCACTTGCTAGTGGAGATATGCCAGTTGATTTCAGCGTTGATGTAAGTGCAATCAGTGAATAAATCTTTGTTATATTTTAACAGTATTATACTATCTGCATTTTCTCTCTTTATCTCTTAAAGGATTCAGCCAATTGGAAGGAGTTTTCATCATCTAAAGATAACCCCAGAGGGGAGATATGCTCAGACCATCTATGTTCTTTTGTAAGTCTTCCTCCTGGATTTAGCCATCCAACTCTATATACTTCACTATATGTGATTTTATATTTTCAGATCACCATTATTTTCCATCCTGTTTATTGCTGGTTGTATCCTCTATTAATCTCATAGTGCTATACCACCTTTTTGTTTATACTTCCCCACAGGGTTGTATAAAGTATATTTTGGTTATTAAGTATCCTATGTATTCAATTAGCGTTTTGTAAAAAAAAACAAAAAAAACAATTTGCTACTTAATCGTTTTTGGTATATATACTATATATACAATGACAATAGCAATAATCACATGGGAGGAAAAAACTGTAGACTAAAACAAAGCCAAAGAAAAAAAGGAAACAATGAGTTATTATTGTCATTTTGCAGAGCTCCCAATAATCATTTTTGCGCTAATTCCCCAGAACTCTGATTATCTCTAAATAAATTAAAACAAATGAAGTGATAAGTCAGCTAAATGCACCAAAAAGTTGTAGATAATTAGTTCATACAAACTACTGTTTATAAAAGGGGATTCAAAGAGTACTGTATGAAGGGAACTAGTACCAGTGAGGAGGGAAGATCAATAAAACAATATAAATTCTGGGGATAAAAGGGAAAATAAAATAAAAAAGGGAACCTTGAGAGAAATAAAAATACCAATACAAAGCAGAGCAAATCAATTAACCAGTAAGAAAAGAAAAAAGGGAGAAGTGGGGGTCGGTCCACAGGTAGAGTGGGAGAATGATGGGGTGGGACAACAAGAGGGGGGATCTGCTGTGAAGATAACAGCCAGTTGGACTTTTTTTAAGATATAGGTTTGAAAATCTTATAAAACGGTTTCATATTGTTGAGATAAAGTAAGTCCAAAATAAGAGAAAAGAACCAGAGCAGTCATAAAGATTAAGATATACTTTTAATGAAAGACACGCAGAACACAAACATTTTGGATCACATACCATATATTAATGTGAAAAGCCATGGATAAAGGGTCTGTGACCCAAAACATTTGTTTTGCGTGTCCTTCATTAAAAGTACAGCACTAAGGTCCATCTTAATCTTTGTGACTGCTCTGGTTCTTTTCTCTTATTTTGGAATAGCATTACTATGCTACTATTGAGGCCAAAGTGGACTATACGCACATTAATTCATCTATTGAATTCTCCAAAGTGGTTTTTATTTTTAATGGTACCTATGTTTTGATAGTGAAGTATCGTTTTCCTACATTTTCAGTTGATAGTGTACATGTTGAGATAAAGTGCTTTACGTTGCCATATTTGTCCACCCCACCAGGAACCAGATGAAGATGGTCTTCCACTCAGTAAAACTATTTCTCAGGAGTCTCTGACACCAGGCAAACTGGACATTAATTTTGAGGAAATGCTGAAGCACAAAATGGATGAAGAGAAAAGGCTCATTGAAGAAGAAAGAAAACAAAAACTGGAAATGGAAAAACAAGAATTTGCTCAATTACGAGAGGAGATGGGAGAGGTAAAGGACTCAAATGATGAGAGCTTATATTTAACACAGATAATATACACAAACATCCAATGCTAGTTTGTAGAAGGGTAGGGGGGAGGGGGAGGAGAGTGATTATTTGGACATTTTACAAATATTCACCTTTCTCTATTCCCATTGATATTCCCCAGCAAGCTTTTCACACACTTGCAGAAGGAGTATAGGACATTCTAATGCTGATGTCATGGCACTGAAGCCAGTATGTCTGTATTATAAAGAAGACTACCCTGCTTGCGGAAGTGTATCCAAGCATGGCCAATCGTGATCTGAGAATGGAGGCACTGGATTGAAAGGCATGACAGGTTTACTTTAACAGTGCATCAAATACTAGAACGATATAGTGAGAAGTATGTCTAGGTTATGCTGAGATTTCAATACAGTATGGTTTATTTATAACACTTTTATTTTCTAAGAATTAAAAGTAAATGCAAAAACTTACAAAAAAAATACTGAAAATGAAAATTGGCATTTGCAAAATAAATAAAATAAAAAAAAATACTTGATAAATTTCAAACATGAATCATATTTTAATTTTTACCTGGTATAAAGGAATATTATTAAATGTCCTATATGTCGACTTGATAGTATAGTAGATTTTACAAATACTATAAAGAGCTGCCCTTGAGAAAAGGGTGCATTCCTTTTTTTAATTAAGTTTTGTAATTATAAATATTCCAGCCTAAAGTGTCCCATTCCACATAACCAATTAAAAAAGGAAATCTTTCACATTTCATCAAATATATTGGGCTTGTCTCCTGCTGATTTCCATTTCCATGGAACACTTACTAAATATTTATTTTAAGCTGTGAATAATCGTAGCCAGAAGAAGTCTTGAAGTATACAAAGTGACACTCAACCCTGACATCACGCATCTATGAGGAGCTATAATGGGCAGTGGTGTATCTTGGTTTTGTGCTGCCCTAGGCAGGACAAAACTCAGGCGCCCCCCCTCCCCCCCCACCCAACCCTTCCCCCTGCCCCACCTTCTAAATACACACACACACACACACACAAACACACACACAGTCAGAGACACACACACACACTCACAAACACAGTCAGACACAAACACACACACACAGTCAGACACAAACACACAGTCAGACACACACACACACACACTCACAAACACAGTCAGACACAAACACACACACAAACACAGTCAGACACAAACACACACACACACTCAGACACAAACAGTCACACACACACACACAGTCAGACGCATACACAGACACAGTCAGACACACACAAACAGTCAGACACACACACACACACACAGTCAGACACATACACACATACAGTCACACACACACACACACAGTCAGACACACACATTAACTTTTTTTTTTTTTTATTTAAATCCCCCCCCCCAACCCCCTTACCTTTGGGAGTGCTGGGGGGGGGGGGAGGTCTCTCTCTCCCCTGTCGGGCGGGCGGCGCTGGCAGGCGGGCGGCTGGCGAGGAGCACCTTGAGCTGCTCAGCTCCCTCCCTGCGAGAGGCTGGGAGCCGGAAGACGTCATCTTCCGGCTCCCAGCCTCACTCTGCGGCGCACGAGGGAGCTGAGCAGTCAGCTCAGGGGAAGAGCTCCCTCGCCAGCCGCCTGCCCAGCACCGCCCGCCCGCTCGGGATGTCAGTTAGCCGTAAGGCTAACTAGGCATTTGCCCTGGGCATTTGGGGGGCGGCGTTTTTTGCCCCCCTCTGAAAAATGCCGCCCAAGGCAAATGCCTTGTTTGCCTCGCGGCCAATACGCCCCTGATAATGGGTCACATGTTAATTCATACACAAAACAAACTGATAGCATTAGCAATTGGTATCCAGAATAAGCCATTCATATAGAAGTACAGCACAGCACCAGTTCAGTTTATTCAGAGAACTTTGCTGCAGTAGATTGGCAGAATACAGACATGGATGATCTAAATGCAGAAATATAGTGCAATTGGAACACTTAAGAACTCTGTTCTTTTACTATATTTGCAGAGAGAACCGACTTCATACTATAAAAAGATGAGCACTGGGTGTTTTAAAATTTCAGAAGACAATGAAGTATTATTCTACCCTATTTTATGCAGTTTTTAAAACCTGATTGCTATGTATATAAACGTTCATTTAATATTTATTTATGTATTGCTGTATTTATAAAGCGCCAACAGATTCCGCAGCGCTATACAATTAGTGGAGAACGTACAATATACACAGACAAATACAAGAGGTCGAGAGAACCCTGCCCAGCTGATAACTAGCCACTGGAGCTCTTTTATACAAAGTGCTTAGCTAGATAGCCCATGAACTTACAATCTAAAGGATACAGTGGGGATTTGAGACAAGGTAGCAGTGGAAATGTGAAGGTTATGTCTAAAAGAGTTAACAGAGAGAAGCAGCTATTGGTAAAATATAAAGGGAATGAAGAGGTAATTGAGGGAGAACAGTTGGAGGAGCATGCTATATATTTAAGAGGAACCTGGGTGGGTGGGAAGTGGTGAGGGTTGTTGGATTTGCTGCAGAATGTTAAATGCAGAGCTCCACTAAGTATGAGATGAGGCCCGAAGGACAGAGATGGAACAGTTATATGAAGGTATTTACAGCTGGGAGGAGAATAGGAAAGAGGGGGAGGAGGGGAGCAGGGAGGGTAGAGTAGCCATGTGTTATATAGTATTGAAAGGTTTAGCGACCAAAATATTAATAACTGTCTACATGAAATATTGGTCAGAAACATTAAATGACAATAATACAAACTGCATGCACAGAAAATTACAGTGGCAAACTACAAGTATAAATGGTAACAATTCTATAGTAACACATGATAATATGGTAGCAATGCAAGAATAAATAAGATGCAGTATCTTCCAAGCTTCAGTGTTGGATTTGCTGTGAGATATTAAATGCAGAGCTCCACTGAGTATGAAATGAGGCCTGAGGGTTGTTGGACTTGCTGCAGGATGTTAAATGTTTACACCAAACAGACATAATTTAAACAGACCTGCACACGTCTGGGGATTAGCTGGCTAATTAAGCATACTTAGCTTTCAATGAGCTAAGAGTGTTTTAAATATCTGTGTATGTTGAATGTATTAAATACTGTAAACAATGGAATTAAATATTAATATACTGGTATTTGACTAGTATACTCCCATTACAACATTCCATAGAACAGTGACAAGAGACAGCAGGTGCTATCCCGTTGAAAACAGTAAACAGACAAGTAATACTTATTATTGTGATTTAACAAATAAACCGATTTGAAATTCTCGTATTCAGAGATTTTTAAAAAAAAAAAATTGTTTCTAGGCTATATATTGAATTTAGAAATACCTAGAACACATATGTGTAAAGATGGAGACTGTAAAATAATTTTGTCTAGACTAGAGGACTACTTTGAACACTGCATGGCAGTACTAAGAAGAGTTGAGTGGCAAAACCATCTAGGAAACGCATTTAGGCACTTTAACAGCAAATCTGAAAATGACTGTAGATAACTAAAATGACAATATAGGCACCCAGACAACTTCAGCTCATTGAAGTGGTCTGGGTGCAGTGTCACAGGTGCCTTAACCATGCAATGGTCATTATTGCAGTTAAAAAAAAAAAACGGGACGTTTTTAACCCCTTCTGCACCACTGGAGAAGGTGGGCACAACAGAGGGGGCACTATAAGGAGCTATAGTGCCAGGAAAATACTATAGTATCTCTTTAAGGGCAGAATGGGGTTGCAATGGACAGTGTTATGGGCAAATGCAAATATTACAAGTTTTAGAATTAAATGTTATATTTCTTAAACTGTGTACTTTGTCTTTAAGGGATATTGCAAACTGACAAGGTGTTAGAAATGGAACATATTGTTTTTCATAGATGTTTCTTTAAGCAATAACCTCAGTGCACATTATGTTTATGCCATTTTGTCCTAGACGAATTACAATAACAATAATGCACGAACAAGTTTCAAGGCTATGCTACGACTCTTTCAGTACGTAATATACTGTGGTAACCTTAGTAGATAAGGATGTTCAGACTTTAAGATGCCATCTTGACTAAAGTCAGGAAAATTTCCATGACGTTTGCACCCTTTAGTTATGGCCTTGTATGTTTGCCAAATTAAGGGAGGTCCTAAAATGAATAAAGTAAAAGAAGTGTTACTTTTTCATATATGAACTACGGTAACCCTAAAATGGAGACACCTAAGGTATAAATAGGTGTACTTTCAAAATGTTAAGACACAGAGGAGAGACTTGGAGACAGACGCTGCTCCATCTTAAAATGACAGAGAGGCTGACATGATGACATGTTCAGAAGGGTATGTTAACCTATTAATGATATTTGCAAGCATTTAGTTTAATCTTATAAACTCTGCTATAAATTATTGTAAGTCATGGAAATTTTCCTGACTTAGTTCAATATGGCATCTTAAAGTTTATCTACTAAGGTTACCACAGTATATTATGTACTGAAAGAGTCGTAGCATAGCCTTGAAGCTTGTTTATGCACTATTGTTATTGTAATTTGTCTAGGACAAAATGGCGTTAACATAATGTGCACTGAGGTTATTGCTTAAAGAAACATCTATGAAAAACAATGTGTTCCATTTCTAACACCTTGTCAGTTTGCAATATCTCTTAAAGACAAAGTACACAGTTTAAGAAATAAAAAAAATTATTCTAAAACTTGCAATGGCCAATAACAACAGGAACTTGAGTTCCCCTATTCATTTTTTCAAGATTTGAATATGCTATAAAAATTTCTTCTTCTATTTCCAATTAGGATGAAATAAATGAAAGCAATGAAGTTATAAGTACTGAATATGAAGAACTGTTTAAACTGAAAAGAACTGGCACCATTAAAGCTAAAAACTTGAAAAGTAAATTTGAGAAAATTGGAAAACTGTCTGAAGAAGAAATACAGAAAAAAATAGAAGAAGAGAGATTGCGTAGAAAAGCGACAGATCAGGAACTAAAAGAGAGGGAAGCGGAACATTTCCACGAGGTAAGACCTTTGTGTTTATTATACATCTGTACAATTTACAAGTGTTACCATAGAAAAGCCTTCAGCAAAGATTCAGATATGTAGTGATTGTGTCATCCTTTCAGTTCAAATTGTGAAATACAGTCATGCCTTGATTGCCCACGCTACATAATACCTAAACATGGCGGCAAAGTATGATACAGAGAAAAACTAAAAAATAATTGAGAGATTCCAAACTGGTGGCTCCCTGAAAGCGTTGACATTGATGTCCCCAACCATGGGACAACATATTTTGCAACATCAACCACTGGTGAAGACAACATTGGACGTATGGCACAGGGCGGCCACACAGATGGGCCTCTCCTCCCTACCCAGTCACAAACAGCCCAGACTTCACCCCAAACATGGGCCCATGGGCATTTGCTTGCCTGACACCAGTGACACACATTCAAGTGAGACACATGAGAGAGGACAACACAATCAAACCCCTTAGTGACTTCCTGGACGACACACACATTACCTTCCTACACAGGCTGAAATATGAACAGATCTGACAGTTCCTGAAGAACACAGCACCCTGACCCTGACTTTGACCCTGTCTAAAAGCCTGGGAACAGACCCAGACCCACTCATACAGACCATCTCCCACCTATATACTCTGCTCCTACACAACAGGAACCTCCCCCAACCCCCTTACTTGAGAAAGTGGGAAACGATGATGGGAGACACTTTCACAGAACAACAATGGGTAAATATATGCGACCTTACACACCACTGCGCACTGGCAAGTAAAACCCAGGAGACGGCATACAAAGTTTTGACCCTCTGGTATAAAACGCCGCAAATCTTGTACAAAATGATCCCAGACGTGAGCGACAGGTGCTGGCAATGCCACACCAGAGTGGGCACATTTCTACACATATGGTGGGAATGCCCGAAGGTTGTCACTTACTGGAGAACGATCAACATGGTGCTACAAAAGTTCTCTGACAACTCACCCCCCTTTAAACCTACCGCATACCTCTTACATCACACTACGACCCCGACAGCCAAATATAAGAAATCCCTGACCATACGGATACTGAACACAGCGAAACATATTTTACCCCTATACTGGAAGACAGACACACCCCCTCCAATAACGACCTGGTTTGAGAGAATGCAGGAGCTACGTGGACTTAGACATCTGGATACATTGGCTAGTAGCAGTCTATCGCACATATTTTCAAAGCATGTTGACATATGGCCGACAGGGAGAAGCCACGGGGAATGTGGAAGGTGACACTGCAGCTCTGACCCAGACTTTTTTGGGTCGCTGGTGCACTCAAGCTGGGGACTAACACTCCTTTACCCTGGCCCATTGCCGGAGGGTGGGAGACAGAGGCGGGAACGAGGGCACACACAGGAACCAACCAGGCGGGAAATACCAGTACAATTCAGGAGTTTCACTTCTGTAAATATTAAGTATCCTCCTATTCTCCTGGCACCTTTTTGCACTGTTGGCCTAATTGTATTTTTCAGCTTGTTTAGGGTTTTTTATTCCTCAAATAATTTGCCCTTATATTTGTGCATAATCTGATTGAATATCTTGTGGCTCAAATTCAGTGTTATTTGGTTGATTCAACTTCAGTTATTTCTTTTGGAAATGTTGTCTATTGCAAATAATTTGATAGAAGAACCACAGGAAATATAGTATGATATTGGGGGGGGGGTGGAGGGGTGAATGTTAAAAAAAAACTGGCATTTGCAGCTAAAACATATAGCTCTGCAATGTGAAACAATACTTTGGCATGCAAATATTCAAATAGGACAAAACAAAAAAAGAAAGTTAATGAAATATTTTGCAGGATGAAGATGTTGATGTCAGACCAGTTGTAAGAAGTCATGCTCCATTTTCGCACAAAGTTAACATGAAAGAGCGATTCGAGCAAATGGCCCGGGCAAGGGAGTTAGAGGAGCAGAGAAGAATCGAAGAGCAAAAAATGCAACGGATGCAATTTGAACAGAAAGAAATTGATGCTGCCGTACAGAAGGTAAAGGGACAAAGCAAGATTTTGTTTTGTATAAACATGAAGCAGGTAGTCAAAAATGGGTCGCAAGAGAATACTGAGAATGGGCAGCAGCTGAAATAGCCTGCCCTTCGGTCGGTCCCCGCTCAGTTCTCAAGCTGATTTTTGCTCATCTTGTGCCATTACAGAAAGAACATATCTGAAGCATATCAGACTGGTCCCACCCATACGGGTAGTCCAGATCCGAAATGCCAGCAAGTTCTCTCTGCACGAGAGCCTTGTTAGGCATCATCAGTGAGGCATAGCTGATATCTCCCTAGGCACCGTGAGCAAGGGGTCCACGTAACATTATGTAATCCCAAGTATCCAAAATCCAGCATAAAAACTGCCAAAATCATAACATTCTTGAAAATATATTTTATTACAATTAAACTCACACTTGTCCACATGAATATCTTCCTCATTGGGCACAACTTTATAGCTTGGAAAACACAATATGATCAAACTGAAAGAGCTAAGTAAATGTTTGATTGTGTGATAGAATAGGAGAGCCATGCATGATAAATGTTACCAATTATACACTTGGTATTTCTAAACATAAATGGTTTTACATTTATGTTCTGGCTAATTAAAGCTGACATATCACTGGCTCATTTCTGGGATTTTATGAGAAATATTTAGTAAACAAATAAGTGGTAAACCTGTGTTTTAACGTGCAATGATTAATTGAAGTTTTCATGGCAAGGTTACATTTGAATCGCTTATTTAATATATGAAATTGCTTTTCCTTTGACACTGATTTGCAAGTTATAACGAAAGGCAGTTGTAAAAACTTTAGATACAATTTAGAACGTAAATTTACAATTACTTGCAGAAAAAGGACGATGACGATGAAGAGGAGGCTAGCGTTAATGGCTCCCAGTATGAGGATGAAGATCTGGCTCGCTCTGGTGCACCTTGGTTTAAGAAACCCCTTAAAAACATGTCCGTTGTCGATGGGGAGCCAGTAAGATTCACAGTTAAGGTCGAAGGAGAACCCAAACCCACAGTCACATGGTGGTTCGAAGGTGAAATGCTGCAGGACTGTGAAGACTATCAATACATTGAAAGAGGGGAAACATATTGTCTTTACCTACCTGAAACATTTCCAGAAGATGAAGGGGAATATATGTGTAAAGTTGTGAACAGCAGGGGCACCGCTGCAAGCAGCTGCATTCTCAGTATAGAAAGTAAGAGTTGATATATTCTTTTTTTAATTTTAATTATAGACTGCATGTGTTTAACATACTGGCCAGGCTCATCCTTTTACGCTGCTTTCTTTCTCTCTTTTGCTCTAGCTGATGACTATTAACAACCTGCTTTTCTGGAGATCACATTTTCTGACTCTCATTGCATCCTCCCTTTCTTCAGTGGGCCAAGACAAAGGAGACACTCGGCTATGTATGGCAGTCCTGTAAAACACAAAGGCAGCCTTACAATGCAAGTCTGGCCGAAGTCATGCTAAATAAGCTCTGGACTGTGATGCACAGGCTGTAAATGCCACCTAAAAACACAAGGCAGAGAGGGGAGTGTTACATGTTAACATGTCTGAAAACATATAATTTAAAAAAAAAAAAAAGCTTGTGTTTGATTTGTGCCAAGACTTTTTATTGGGTTTGAATGAAATTCTATGTTAATGCCTTGTTTGTCAGGTTATATGTTTCACTGAAAGTCTTTTCCAATAAAAAAAAAAAAAAAAAAAAGTTTTAAAAAAATGATCTTTTTGTGCATATGTTGAAAGGCAGCTTTGTGAAATCAAGCTATTATCAGCAAAAAGCTCACAAGCATATTTTACACCTATATGTCATTTCTTAAAGGGGCACAGCAGTTCAGCTTTTAAATGCAATGTACAGGTCATTAATCATAAAACATAAGCACTAAACATCAGGGTGTTTTTTTTCTCCTTCTTTTTCAGTAATAACATGGAACATTACAAACAATTAACTCATTTGTTGTTGAAGTCTTGCATGGGAATGGGAAGCAATCCCTGTGTTTTAAGTGCATTGGAGATCAGTGATCCCTAATCACAGAAGAATGTGAAAAGTACAGTACAAGGCAATCAGTTGCAGACATGACAAATGTTTCAATATATAAATCCAAACAGCTGTTATTTGAAGAGGAAATCATTTAAAACATAGATTTGGTCTCATCTCACAGGCTCACTTGCACATGTAAATAAATAAAAGAGACAGCGCCAAGTAACCTATTAGGCAGCAACCCGAGAAAGGGGATCCCCCTAAAACCCTAAAATACAGAATAAAAAAGGAAAAAGGGCTGCGCCAAGCTGGATAAACAATATTCAGTCCAAATAATGGTAATGGTATAATAAAAGTCCAACCTAAAAAGTGTCCTCTCTGTCGTCCTAGGGTACCGGAACAAGGGTCTTCAGGTATAACATAAAAAATAAAAAGAGAGAACAACCGATAATGCAGATGGTATGTATCAAATGAGGTAAAATTCGAATAATAGTAGCGAACTCACAATTTTTTAGAGCTTCTGTCCAGCTCTAGGGTAAAGCGCACACAGCGGTATAATCCCCGCTTGTGGGATATGTGGTGAGTGTCGGTTCTTCAGTGGTATCCAGAAGCTCAAAGAGAACAAAAACAAGCCAAATAGTGCTCTCTGTATGGATGTATATCGTAGGTAGAAATAAAATCGTACTTACAAGTACAGCGCAGTCCAACTGCTCTTTGGTGTCAGCGCTGGTGGAATAATCCCCACCTTTGGATTTCTTTGACTGCCAGGAACTTGCAGGAGTGATGTTAAGACTGGAATAAAGTTTTAAAATATATGTGTATATATATATATATATATATATATATATATATATATATATATATATATATATAATATGCCAGGGGTAAATGTATAGATAAAAATGATTGGAACTATCAAGTAACCAAAACTTTAATTTTTATTATACAAAATTATATTTCCATTAACGCGTTTCGTCGTACAGACTTTCTCAAAATGGAATGCAATACAATACCTGGCAGATAATGATTATATAGACATAGTTAATTACAAAAAATGGCGCCAAAACATTTTTTGGCCAATCAGAATGAACATACTTATTTACACATCAAATTCACAATATTCGATGATTTGCAGATAATATATACTTTAATAAGGCATATTCTGTAGGTTTTTATTAAAAACAAAGGTAGAAAAGGGTTTAGAATTATAAAAACATTATGTCACATGATTTTGGAGCATTTCCGGTTTCGGGGATGTGGCCGCAAGGACTTATGGGTATAGTAGTTCTCCCATGCGGCGACCATTTTAATGGGAGGTAGAGATAAGGGAATAAGTTTTTAGAATTAAAAAGTGCATAATAGAATAGATTATGAATAGGGAATTGTAAAAACAAGTTGGTGTCAATAAAATTAGTTAAAACCGAGGGCGGGAAGCCTCCAAAAAGTATAAAATAGGCGGGTCACGTGATATGCGGTACTTCCGGTTTCGGAGGTAGAGCCGCAAAGCATTATGGAGCATGTAGTGCTCCCATAAGGTTGCATAATCACTAAAAGAGACACAAATTTAAACGCAGCTTAATTGCTGACAAGCAATTAAAGATATACTAAAAGGGATAATAATAAAAAGTAAAACTGCTGTAAGAGCAAATTAGATGCCAAAAGTAAACAAAAAACAGTAAAAACTGATTATAAGGGGCGGAGCTTGCCAGCCGAGCGAGCCAGATGCACATGGCGAGAGCTCCCATACCTGAAGCCTTGATTCTGGGCATTACGCCCAACCACCGGATCGTGCCGGCAGCAGACAACCATCCTCATATCCAGAAGGGGATGCTGAGTCTGGAGATACCTGATTCGGGGCTCCCCGCCGCCGAACTGCCCACACCACAACCCGCGGCTTGCACGGGTGGGAGCCGCGGAGAGACGGCCGCTCTCCCGGTTCTCAGGCTGAAGAGGGGACACTCGCACACTGCTCCCCCCCCCTATGGACCGGCGGGGGTTATCCCGGTCCCCGCCAGTACGGAAAACTACAAGCCGAGACATCATAGCAGCCGCTGAACTTCCAAGCAGAATGGAAGCGGCGGTGCCCAAGATGGCGGACAAGCCGAGCTTCACTACATGTGGCCTGATGCAGCCACAACTCAGCATAGAAAGGCACACAGCGAAAGAGAAAAAGATCACGAAACCTGGAACAAGCGGCACCCTTACCACTCCACCCAGGAGTTCTTTGACCTACTCTGCACCAGCTTATGGTCAAAACTCCGATATAAAGGCCGGCCCTTCAAACAAGCGGTCCAAGCGGTAGCAGCATGGGTCCGACCAGCTACCCGACGGCAACTGTGTGAGTACCCACAGCGAGCCCCCAGGGCGGCCTCCAGAAGGGGACGAAGCCTGAGAGCAAAGCAGCGAGTGGCAATGGCTTGCACCTCAGGCGCCAGCACTCACCCTTTCCAACGTCCACAACCAGCAGAGAAAACCTCCGGAAACACGACTGCCCAGCCCCAGCAATGCCTCAACGCACGCAGACATGCCGGGAGGCCAGCTCAAGCGGCTGCTTGAGCCGGAATCGTACAGCATCAACACAGGAGACAACTTCCACACGGAAAGCCTCGGACTGTTCTCAGACCTATGCCGACCTCTGGTATAGGGTGAATGGGGACACCTGCAACAAACTGGCATACTGATCTGATACTATGCCTACTGTCCCCGAGGGGAAACTATCTGACTATATGAGGAGTAACTCACCCGACTACTCTTTAGGCTATGAGAAGTTTTTGCAATCGCCTATTTTATGTGTTATTTTTTATTAATCTTGCCGTTAAGATTAGCATAGTAAGGGACTAGAATTGCATGTAGCCAAGGCCAGTGCACTAATTTTGCTTCCCTTTTACAAGCCTATTACGTGACACACACGCTTTATAGCATAGTGAGTTAGGCATCTATAGAAATTAACATTGCCTCATCGCTTTCTGTTCCATTGTGGTTTTATTTCTTCTTCCTTGAAAATATTTGGCTGCCGATCCATGACTATAATTAAAATACGAAACTAGAGGCGCACCGGGGGTTAAACCCGCAGCTAGCCTATATTAACCATATGTACTTCACTCTTGTACAAAAGCTAGACTAAGCCTGTATTACTCAATTAGAATGTTATTCTATGTTGCCTAACATGAGCTAATTAGATATACCAGCGATGTTACCTTCAGCTAGGAGTCAGAATTGGCTGTTAGACTCATGACTGTTTATTATTTTAACCATCCTTAAAAATAAAAATTGTGCTAGTTTTCTCATGTACCTCTATGTCTAAATGTCTATATAACGTGTTGGAGGATTGCCTTTGGGGTAGCTCACAACTGTCTGTTATGAGCTTATGCGCTACAAAAATAAAGAATTTTAAAAAAAAACAAACAAAAAAAAACCTGATAAGGGTATCTTAGGAAGTATAAATTAGAATATAATATAGAATATAGAAGCCTGATTGGGAAAAAAAAAAAATATTTATGTGAAAGAGCTAAAAAGATTATAAAATAAAGGATGATAAAAAATAGTAATAACCTTGGTTGTTATTAAAAAGCCACAAAAATAGCCTTAAAAATAGATAGAAACACAGACCATACAAGGATACTAATAATATTATAAAAAATTATGCAGCTCAAAGTCAGCATTAAGACCATGGGGTATAAGAGTCTGAAGATTATACACCCATTCCATTTCTGTTTTTCCTAATATTTTTTTAATATCACCCCCACGCCAAGGGGTGGAACATTTTTTTATGCCAATACACTTCAGTAAATGAGGATCTTTATTGTGTATAATAAAATGTTTGGATACTGTATGGTTTAAGTATCCATTTTTAATATTTCTGCAATGTTCGCTCAGTCGAGTCTTTAGACACCTTGTGGTCATCCCCACATATTGGAGACCACAGGGGCATTCGAGCAGATAAATACAATTTTTCGTGTTGCAGCTAATAAAATCATAGATCTTATACACTTTATTAGTTCTATTTGACATAAATTGAGTTGTTTTTGATAAAACCCAATCAGGCTTCTATATTATATTCTTTATTATACTTCCTAAGATACCCTTATAATCAGTTTTTACTGTTTTTTGTTTTCTTTTGGCATCTAATTTGCTCTTACAGCAGTTTTACTTTTTATTATTATCCCTTTTAGTATATCTTTAATTGCTTGTCAACAATTAAGCTGCATTTAAATTTGTGTCTCTTTTAGTGATTATGCAACCTTATGGGAGGACTACATGCCCCATAATGCTTTGCGGCTATACCTACCAAACCGGAATTACCGCATATCACGTGACCCGACTATTTTATACTTTTTGGAGGCTTCCCGCCCTCGGTTTTAACTAATTTTATTGACACCAACTTGTTTTTACAATTCCCTATTCATAATCTATTCTATTATGCACTTTTAAATTCTAAAATCCTATTCCCTTATCTCTACCTCCCATTAAAATGGCCGACGCATGGGAGAACTACTATACCCATAAGTCCTTGCGGCCACACCCCCGAAGCCGGAAATGCTCCAAAATCACGTGACATAATGTTTTTATAATTCTAAACCCTTTTCTACCTTTGTTTTTAATAAAAAACCTACATAATATGCCTTATTAAAGTATATATTATCTGCAAATCATTGAATATTGTGAATTTGATGTGTAAATATGTTCATTCTGATTGGCCAAAAAATGTTTTGGCGCCATTTTTTGTAATTAACTATGTCTATATAATCATTATCTGCCAGGTATTGTATTGCATTCCATTTTGAGAAAGTCTGTACGACGAAACGCGTTAATGGAAATATAATTTTGTATAATAAAAATTAAAGTTTTGGTTACTTGATAGTTCCAATCATTTTTATCTATACATTTACCCCTGGCATATTTTTATATATATATATTTTTAAAACTTTATTCCGGTCTTAACATCAAGTTCCTGGCAGTCAAAGAAATCCAAAGGTGGGGATTATTCCACCAGCACTGACACCAAAGAGCAGTTGGACTGCGCTGTACTTGTAAGTACGATTTTATTTCTACCTACGATATACATCCATACAGAGAGCACTATTTGGCTTGTTTTTGTTCTCTTTAAGCTTCTGGATACCACTGAAGAACCGACACTCACCACATATCCCACAAGCGGGGATTATACCGCTGTGTGCGCTTTACCCTAGAGCTGGACAGAAGCTCTAAAAAATTGTGAGTTCGCTACTATTATTCGAATTTTGCCTCATTTGATACATACCATCTGCACTATCGGTTGTTCTCTCTTTTTATATTATACCTGAAGACTCTTGTTCCGGTACCCTAGGACGACAGAGAGGACACACTTTAGGTTGGACTTTCACTTGCACATATGCCTGGATGTCCTATTGGCCCCTGGGATGTAAAAAAAATGATGTTCCTGCTGAAAGATCTGTCTGGTAGATGGTTCTGCTCCTTTCAATGAGGGGGTGTGTATATAGAGGTGTGCAAAAAAACAAAAATAAAATATATATTAAAACAATACCAGCACACTAGAATTTTCAAATATTCTTTATTCCAAAGTCTTCTATTCAAAATAATCCATAAGTCAACGTTTCAGTTCCAAGCAGGAACTTTCTTTAGGACAACATACAACCACATTACAAATGACAGGCTTTATAAAGTACAAGATATAATTACTCACCAAATCACCTGTATCTTGATTGTTCAATTAGCTGGTGTTCCCCAGGTGCATGAGCACATGTGTACCATTATTATTATTTATATACATGATGGAAGCAAGCAGGTGCTGCCCTCAAAGGGACACTAGTCACCAAAACAAAGTTAACTTAACCCCTTAAGGACGGAGCCAAATGTACACGTTGTGAACGAAACAAAATCTGGCATTTGCGCTACATGTCTGTCCAACCGTAATTCACCTCTTTCATATTAAATGCACCCACCCTTATTATATATCATTTTATTCAGGGAAAACAGGGCTTTCATTTAATATCAAATATTTAGCTATGAAACATAATTTAAGATGAAAATAATGGGATAAGTTTTTTTTAGTTCTACATGACATTTTAACTGTCAATGTCATAATACCATTTGCTTTTACTGCAATAAAATACACATATTTGTATATTTAGCAAAGCCTCACGTTTAAAACAGTACCCCCTATGTACAGGTTTGATGACGTTTTGGGAAGTTACAGGGTCAAATATAGCAACTTACATTTGAAATTGAAATTCGCCAGATTAGTTACGTTGCCCATGTGACTTTATAGTAGCCCAGGAATGAAATTTACACCCATAATGGCATACCATTTGCAATAGTAGACAACCCAAGGTATTGCAAATGGGGTATGTCCAGTCTTTTTTAGTAGCCATTTGGTCACAAACACTGGCCACCATAGTCACCAAAACTATGTTCGCATAATGACGCAGTTTTGGTGTATAGGTCATGCCTCTGAAGTTTCACTGCCATTTAGGAATTAAATCACTTTGTGTCTGTTTATGTAGCCCTAGCCACACCTCCCCTGGCTGTGACTGAGACAGCCAACATGAAAACATGGTTTCATTTTCAATCAGATGTAACTTACTTTAAAAGGTTTTATTTACTGTAAATTAAACTTAAATGACACAGCAGGGTCTATCAAGCTATTAACAGAACAGGAGATGCATTCTAAATTAAACAGTATTTGCAATAAAGTAAGTAATAGTTAAATGACTCTTTTCAGGAAGTGTTTTAGGAAGGCTGTGCAAGTCACATGCAATGAGGTGCGACTAGGGCTGCATAAACAAAGTGATTTACATCCTAAATTGCAGGGGAATGATCTATACACCAAAACTTCATTAACCCCTTAAGACCGGAAGGGGTACTATTACGCCCTATTTTAAGCGGCTCTAAACGCCGCTGGGCGTGATAGTACACACTCCGGTCTTTCTGTACTTACCCGGGCGCCGGCGATTGCGGTTGGGGGAACTCCCAGGGAAAGTTTTACTGGGACCATGATGTCCCTTTAATACCAGTTTGTAACTGAAAGTGACACTCCACTGCCACCCCCTCAAAAAAAAAAAAAAAAAAAACACAACTATAGAGAAACCCCAAACAAAAACATGCCTTTAAAAGGGAAACTATAAGCACCCATATATCATCTCATTGGTCTTGGCCTGGAAATAAAGTGTTAAAAACTGCTCTTTAACCCTTTCATGGATGGGGAAAGGCAACAGTGTTAGGAATACAGTTTTGTATTCCTAATACTATAGTCAGACTACTACATCTCAATGCCAGGTGCAGAGGAACCAGTTTGTTAGGAATATATCTTTGTATGCTTAACACCAACGTTGTTTCTTTAATTATGCATTTGTTTCATTGGGGGTATAGCTTTAAAAAAAAAAAAAAAAAAAAATTCTGTGGCTGTCCGATTACCTTTTCAATGCAGTTCAATGGTAAGTCACGGCAAGCCAAGCGCACTGTCCAGTTGCCTCCCTTTTGAGTTAGCTCCACCGAGCTAAACAAACCAGGAAGTAACAAAACCTGTCAGTTTGTAAGCCAGGTGACAGTAACATGGCCAAATGGGCACTCCAGACCCCATACTTGCTGAAAAACTTTGAGCGAAGTGTGTCATTTATTTTGCAAAAAGCGCAGATTTCTCAAGAGGCAACTATTGTCCAGAACACCTGCCTTGAAAAGACTTCATTGGGTGGGGAGGGAAGGGGAAGACTGCAGGTTTTCATTTAAAGGTATATCAACCCAGTCATTTTTACTTACTTTGTATTTGAGCAGTGGGTATCCCTTTAAAGAAACAATAGTGTCTGTCCCACCCTCCCCCCCCAACAGCAAATATTTATAATCCTTTTCACTTGCCTAATCCCAGTGTCAATCACCCTCGGCCCCAGGTCAAACTGTGCACAACGCACAACTTTGTTTCAATGCTTTCCTATGGGGATTTTCTAGACTCTGGACACACTCATGCAGAGTGTGAGAATGTCCAGCATATTTTCATGGTGTCAAGCTACGTAAAACTGCGGGAAGTTACGCTAGTGGCTATAGGGTCAACAGCCACTAAAGGCTGTTCTAAAACCGCAATGTAAGCATTACAGATTCCCTAAAACATTTTACACTGGTGTTAAAAGGAGATCAACACTGCACAGATCACTTCAATAAGATGAAGTGGTCTGTGTGCCTAGAGTGTACCTTTAAAACGCACAGTCCACAGTCTTTGTAAAAAATGGGGGGTGGGGAGACCCTTCATATATAATGAACTTCAGCAAGCTTAAAAGGGACACTATAGTCTCCAGAACAACTGCAGCTTCTTGTATTTGTTCTGGTGAGCAGAATCATTCCCTTCAGACTTTTTGCAATAAACAGTCTTTTCAGAGAAAATGCAGTGTTTATATTACAGACAGGGATTCCTCCACTGGCCACTGCTCAGATGGCTGCTAAAGGTGCTTCCTGGGGCAGTGCAAACTTTCCTCAGAGAGATGCATTTGTTCAATACATCTCTATAAGGAGATGTGGATTGGCCATGGCTGTTTGACTTGTGCTGGCTCTGACCCTGGTCTGCCTCCTTGACAGTATCAGCTAATCCTATGGGAAAGCATTGTGATACCCTTCGCTTGAAAGAATAGTTCATAAAAGTCAAGCCAAGCTTAATCCGATTCACCACTACCTGAGGCATAAAGCTAGTGAAATACTCCCAGCCAACACCTAGCTTTCACAGTCAACAAGGAAAATGTCAATGTCATAGCAGCATAGACATGTGCTCTTGAGATATGTTCCAAAAAAACACTTCATCCCCAACATTAAAACCACCTGCCTAATGTCTGTCCCCCCTTGTGCTGCCAAAAAAAAAGCCGACATGTTGAGGCATGGACGCCAGAAGAACTCTGAATGTGTCCTGTAATATCTGTCACAGACATTAACAGCAAGTCCTCCTAAGACAGGATGTAGCCAGTGCGTGGTGGTGTGTTAACCCTTCCATCAATGTATGTGGGAGGGACCTAAAAAAGGTTAGTTTGCAGCAATTCATGTCAAATTTTTGATTTAGTTTCCCAAAACCAAGAAGCTAAAATGAGTTTTATAAAGAGACATTGGTTTTAGGTCTTTCCAGATTTTCTAGAAATGTTATTATGGACCTATCCTAACTTAGAGAAAACATTTGCTACCAACCAAGCAGTGTGCGCGTGTGTAGTGAAATATTTGGACATCTTCAGAAAGTTCAGCTTAGAAATCAAATATATAAATAAAATTACAGAAGACCTTCGGCATAACAGTTCAAATTCACAGCATGTTAGGCTGCTAATAGCCAGTAACTTTGCAACTGCAATTTTTTCAGTAGTGTTTCTATAAATCCTGTAACTTTGCACCACAAACCGCACTTTACAAAGAGATGGGAGCAGTAGATCATTATCTTCTTTGTCGTTGAGGTCTTAAATATTAGACCTAGTTAAGATAAATTGTACGGGTCAAGTTTTAAAGCTCAGGAAAGTCAATAGTTTTTAAGAGTGATTCCAATGAAATCCTTTAATCTAAAGATGACCACAGGAGAAACATGGCTCTGACAGATTTCTGTAGTTTCAAAGCTAGCATGCAATCAAACTTTTCTCCTTATTTATTGCTGCTTGTTCATAGAATTTTCATCACTCCAATGTGTATGATTTTATTGGCGGTTGTAGAGAAGGAAAAAAAATAAATAAAAAAAAAATCTGATTTTCAGAACTTGGTCTCAGAAAAGTTTCCAAAATGCCCTTAATTCAATGTGGAGTCAGGTGAAAAAAAAACCAAAAAAAAACCCCAAACACAAAAAACAATGTTTTGGATTGAAAAAACACACAACAGTCAGCAATTGTTTATTGTTCCATTTATTTATATTTGGGAGAAAAGACATTCCTGAAATGCAGGATAGGAGATACAAGTAAAAAGGTATGTTTTGGAAAAAACATTTTCAAATCATACAATGCTACAAAAATAACACATTTAACCAAAAGCCACGTTTTGTCTTAAAATTCCAGCAGTTGTAACTAGAACCATAGGAATATAAAATATAAAGGAGGCAGTTTTGTTTAACCAAAAAAAAAAAAAAAAAAAAAAAATATTTGTGTGTATAGGAAAATTCACAAATTAACCTATGCCCTGGCTCAAGGCTCACAACAAAGTTCCCAATTCTGGGCTAGTTGTGATACAGACAAAATCTGGACTGTTTGTGGGCAGAGAACTGGGATTGGATCTGCCCTACACCAACACTTCCATATGGGACAAAAATGAACACACAACCCCAGTCACAAGCATACAATACAGATCACTTCCACTGCATTCTCTACACACAAAAAACCCTCAATCCCCCCTCTCCCCCCATATGCAAACTAACTTCAGATGGCTTAATATTAAAGTAGAAAACTAAATAAAACTATAAATGTTAAAATAAATGTAAAGAGTAACTAAGCTAGAACGATGTGTTAATTTCACACAATACTGAATATTTTATGGTGATAAAGGAAATCCGAAAATAACCAAGAGACTACATGTAGCATCCATCAAGTTACATTTATTGACGGGATGTAAACAATGCACAAATCACACAATCAAATGCCTGTTACATACAGTTTAAGTCACTGTGAAATCTACATGTGATAGTTAAAAAGCATTTAATTTACCTCCATCCAAGGGCCTCCTTATTAATAATCTACTGAGATGTCCCCTCTTCTGCTTACACGGGGCAGGCATCTTCCATAAAGAACCCAAATGTGAGAGATGGAAAGGCAGGTTTGTGTACTTAGGACAGGTTACCTCTAAATGTTAGAAGATCAGGACTGATTCAAATACCCATATTATGGCAACACTGGCATTTTACTCCAGTAAAAAAAGTTTATATATTAAAATAAAAAGCTGCTAAAGCCAACTCAGACATAAAAACAGAAAATAAAAATCAGAAAATATTGCTAACTACTTGAAATAATATTTTATAGCAAAAGAACGGCTTTAAATTTCATATCAAAATGCCATGAAATTACGAGCTGGAGTTAAACTAAAATGGGTTTTAGCATAAATTACATAAACATTCATAAATGCGAAACTAAACTGTCTTCGTTTAGCAAAGCACTTCTGCTGTAGCAGGTTTTCCCGCAGGGTAATGAGGCCCTAAGCAGTGGTTACCACTGAAAACATGTGATCACTTGTATGTGACGTCACATTTTAAGTACAATCATACAGGAAATGTGTATATCATGTATGTACAAGTATACTGGTATCCAGATTCAACGGTCACTAGAGTTCAATCTGAATGCATCCACTTTGGCTGGATGATTTACTCCTACACAAAATCTGCTACAGCAGAGGGATTAGTGCCACTGTGCATAGTCATTAGGTACATCTAGCTGTACCCTTGATAATATGCATTGCAAATAGCTGTGCAAGGGTAAAAACCAAAACAAAATTACATATCCAAGACATCAATATTCTGAGAAATGTCACCTTAAACAAAGACTACTACTGTTGCTGAACTACACAACAAGGGAAAAAAATGCTATCAATGTCCCCTTAAATATGCACTATATACTACTAAGAGGAATTGATTGAAATATTCATGTGATTTAGTAATATTTAGAGAGCAGATTTGGCCCAAGACAGGTTATAATTAAGGCAAACCACTTGCATCACACACAAAAAAACAAAAAAGGAAATACAAATATTGATATTGAGGACACCATAAACTGCAGTAGGAAACAAAAAGAAATGTATCTCACTGGAAAGTTAAAGATTATCTACGACTGCTGACTGAGCACAGAAATACATTTTCCAGCCCCGCTTCATAAGTATACTAGATTATTAAATGTGAAGTTCTCACAGCCTGTAAATATCACTGGACCAAAGTGCTTCCTCTTTTCCCACTATTAATTCTCCAAGTGCAATGCGGTGTGAATTTCCAGTTAAGCCAACACAGCGCACAGTAAGTCCATAATTTGCTAACAGACTAATTAATGGAAGGTGCTAAACGTCATTGTAGTTCACATCTAACAAGCTTTTTGGCAGTTAAAAATAGAACGATACATTATAATGGCAAAAATATGCATAACAGTAATTTAGAGGGCAAATATGTGGAAAGCATTAATAGTGATCAAACAATCTGCACTATTATGCATAATAATACATTTGCGAATATTTTGCCAATTTTACCTTCTACATGAGCCCTTCTAGGTCCATCGGCTCACCAATGGCATACACTGAAAGGATTCCGCCTTAGGGGTGGGAACTATCTCAGGACCTGATAATATGAGCTATGAATTGGTGCTTGCAGCATCTTCAGCACTGTGTGTGAAAATGAAGGCAGGAGTTTTGAAAGTTTCTTTGGATGCACAGTTAAGCAGGACTTAATTGAATCAGCACATTTTGGAAAATAAAAATACAAGACTGATCTTTCTAAGCAGCTTAAAGAAAATACAGAGATATATACTGCTTTTTGATAAACAGAATACAGTGTTATTCTTAATGCAAATATGTTGCTATGAAAAACAGCAGAATTCAAACAAGTCAAACTCAACTACCTGCTTAATTACTGCAATTTCTATTTTGAAAAAAATAGCATTTTAAAAACAGAACGCTACTAGTGAAGGGTGTTTAACACACTGTCTATAAATATGGAAAGGTAAAAAGTGTTCTAGGGAAAAAAAAACAAAACAAAAAAAAACAAAACAGAAAGACATTTATATAGGGAAGAAAAATAGACACCTGTGCCTTTTAAAACATTTCCCCCCCCAATGCAGTAAATGATGGTGTTAGCAACCATGAATCTTACAGGGATGTTTTGT